CTGCCTTCTCCAGAAGCGCGAGCAGTTCGGCTGGCCTAGGACAGTGGGGGTGCCCGAGAAAGGCCTCCAGCGCGGCTTGCCGCGTCTCCAAGCCGGGAGGTGCGGTGGCGGGGTTGGGATGTGGCTGCTGGGTTTAGACCCTTCCTGCAACCGCCACTGCTTCAGCAGGGCGCTGCAGAGAGTTCAATATGCTGCCTGCTCCAGACCCCCCTCCAACCGCTCATCTGCCCACCTTGCCACCTCCCACCACCTTCAGGCAGTTCCCTGCCTGCATGGGAGCGGGGCTCGGGGGGGAAGGGATCATCTCCCCGTGTAGGGGGGAAGGAATGCCTCCTCTGGACAGCCCATGGGGCTGCAGACGTGCAAACGCACTCCCTCCCCACAATTTTTCTGACTCCCCGGTTCAGTGGAAGAATTTCGGTTCACCTTTGATTATTGTCCACGATTTCCGTATCCTGGTATCTCTTTGCAGTCTCGCGAAGCCAATCCAGAGCAGGTGTAGATGACTTGCGTGTGGTTGTCTGTCCTCTTCACCTCTCACCCTGAGGGCCGAGAGCAAAGAGATCAGCCCTATTCCGCCATATTTCACAATCCCCCAACATCTATCATATATTTTGATGGTATATTGCTATACATAAACCTTCTGAGTATGGTGTACTTTTTGTCAATATGTCAGCATTTATACCAGTTAATTTTTTACTTAAATACTATTTTGTCTAATACTAATAACTGGTCATGGTTCTTTCCATGATAACAAACATTTGTATTACAATGTTATTTTTAATATTTCTGTCCCATGTTGACATTTCTTGCATCAAGTGTAAAAATTGATTTTATCTTAATTTTTGTTTCTTTTTTTTACCAATATAAAACTGTTTGTTGTCATTGCTGTTAGTCTGTATGCCCAGAAGATGTGTTCTCTTTTTCTGCTTTATGTGTACTTGAGATGCTCACGTCTATGGATTGTATAATCTAGACCCCTTTGCCCTCTGGCTTGCTCTTGGATAAGACAAATGTGAAGTTCCCTCTTGGCCTCATTACAGTTTTGGCAGAATCTATGTTCTTTTGCCTAAAGCCACAACTTTTTGCAGGTGGCCCCTTTCTTAAGTTTCTAGCCCTTATTAGGTTCCAGTAACATTTCTCTTTTCCCTTACCCCTTTGGGCCTCTGTATGGTAATAGCTTTCCCATTTGGTTCCCTAACCTTACCTTCGTCTTTGCAAACAGAACCTTCAATAAACTCTGTTTCAAAGTAACCCTTTGAATCTGCTGTTTCCTGCTGATACAGTGACTGATAACCTGTCTTTTTAACACTTATTTTGATTACTATCAAATAAGTGATTTGATTTGATTACTATCAAATAAGTGATTACAATCACTTATCAAAATAAGTGTTAAAATCACTTAAGTGATTTTAACACTTATTTTGATTACTAATTTGGACTCACTGCTTTTGGTTCTGGGTTTTTTCACTTCCTGTTTCTTCATATCTTTTGACATACCTGTACCAAAGTTACAAACATTTTCTAATGAATACTGTTAAAATTTTAACACACTTAATGAAACATATTTTTATTAAAGCTTATAGTTAATATCTCTACTTTGTCTGCAAATGCCATTCTTCATTTTGTAATTCTTTCCCATAACCACCTCCATATAAAAATCATTTAGCATTTTTATTCTGGATTATCATTAGTTCTCTTTCTATGAATCAATAATTATCTAGACTCATTAAGTTTTGTTTTTGTTCATTACTGTTTCATAGGTCCTATACTTTAATATTTGTTTTCAGTTTGCTGTATATATCTCTAAGTAATTTTTTTCAGAAAGCATCTGTGGGTGGCACATATTTTATTTTGCCCTCATACTTGAATGTTAGTTGGGCTAAGATTAGAATTAGTTCTAAATTCAAATTCATTTTGTTGAATTCTGGCTCCTCAAAACATTAGCAAACCAACCTGTTGATAAAACAAATCTGTGTTTCTTGAATAAAAACACTGTTTAGACAAAACTTTTAAGAAGGCTTGAGAGAGAGAAGGATATAATTAAGATACTTATTGAGATTTTGAAGTCTGGTTTAAGGAGGGCCTTCCAATGTGGGTGTTTAATTAGGACTGAGTAAAGATCAGAATATAATAGTTTAAATTCGGGGACATGCGAAGCAGGATTTTGCCCCTTTATGCTGGATCTTAGGGAAAAAAAGTCCTTTTCACACAAGGCCATTCTGAAATTCAGCCAAACTGGTGAGGTTTCTTAATAACATATTAAATTTTAAAATATAGTTTATTTTTCTTAGCAGCTCTTCTTTGGCTTTTGAATATGTACTTACATTATTCTCTTTGGAGATATTATTTTATTTCATCAAATGTAACAGAACTTTGGCAGTACTTCATCTTGCCAGAAAGCATCAACAGAAGATTTTCATACTCCTAAGTCACAGCTCTCACCTGACTGATTGTGAGATACCATTGATTACAAGATACATTTTAATTGCAAAGAGATTAAAATGTAGGAAAAAATGTGTCTTAGAATTGATCAAGTAATTATTTTAAAGCTTTCTTCCCTCTCCTTTGTTAACAGTGCTTCCTTATTTTAGTTTTTATGGTGGCAGAGATTTGTGCTCTTTTTCATGGTACTAGTTTTTCAAAAATCTGTGGCCATTTTTGGTTGTCTTTTTATATTTGTACTGGTGAGTCCCTCTTCTCCTGAAAGCAAATACTGGTTTCCAATTATAAAAGCCTGCCTGCAGTCATTGCAGCTGACAAGCAGGACATGCAGGAGGATGTAGTCTGTGAGTGTCTTGTCTTTTAGTGCACAGAGGTCCCTTCCCATCTCTCCTGGAGGTCATGAACTACATGTGACACTCACTGCTCCTCTGTTGCCAGCATTATTTTAAATATTCCACTTCTGATGGAGAAATGCAAGGAAGGGAATAAATAAAACCTTTATTCCCTTCCTTCCCCTTTCTACCTTCCTCTTTTCCTTTGTTTTCTGTAATGTTTTAGGAGTATTTAGGAGAATATCTGGAGTTATTTCAGGCATTTGCCCTGCTTCTCTCTCCAGCCCCAAATATTCACTCTAGGAGATCCCCACCAAGTACTTCTCTGAATTTTAATTCTGAGTGGCTACTAGTAGCTCAGTGTGGGGACCAGATTGTTGGGAGAGGCAGAGGAATGCCAGTCACACTATTTAGAAAGTTCTCTCTTATTTAGTTATCTTAAAGATTTGGCCCTGGGTTCCCTCCTGCATTTGTTAATAGTGGCCATAGTTTTCTTTGGTTTCTCCATTCTTCTTTCTATAATTTAATCCCAATTTACTTTTGATCTGCCAGAAAATTTTCAAGATTTTAATGCCCTGCAACACACTTTCTTGTTTTCCAGATCCTATATGTATATACATTTTTCCATATTTTTTGTATCATTTAAAGGATATGATTCAGAATAAAGAAAGGATTGTTGTTGCTAAGTTGGAAATCTTCATCCACTTTCTCTTGATAGTCTATAAAAAACAGAATAAATATTTCTGAAACCCTGGAGAAAATAAGAAAATATAGTGTGCTTGTGTGCATGTGTTTATATAAATATAAACACAGAAAAAATATCAAAACAGACAGCAAACAAAGATTATAAATATAAGTGTGGAATAAGATCTTAATTAAAAGATTTTGTCAAAAGAGAAATGTTACTATATGCTATTTGAGAGATTTGGCAATGTGACAAAAGGTTATAAATAAAAGTAATAAAGATATTTCATGGGACTACAAACAAAAACTGAGAATAAAACTAAATGCTAAAGCATGAAATAAAATAAAAAGTCATTTTAAGTAATGAAAGATACATTTTTCAATGATAATACTGTGAAATCTATAAAGAGTTATAAACATGTTTCTCCTTAGCGGCAATGATAAATAAGAAAATAATAAAAATAGATACCATTTGCAATCACAACAAAAATTAACAGAATCAGTATTTCATTTCAAATATTCAAATAAATTCTAAATGAATTTAAGATTGATATGTTTTAAAAAGCCATTTAAGTATTAGAAGAAAATAAATGAAATTTAGTGTTCAGGATTTCTAAAACATGGTATCGGTGATAGAGAAACTATAAAAGCAAAAGACTGATCAATTTAACTATAAAGAAACTTAAAGTTTCTGTACTAAAAAAATGCCATAACAATATCAAAACATTTACCATTAGTGTATATTAACTTTGGCCTTAAATAAAATTGTCTGGATATTTTTCATAAATTCTATTGTCTCCATTATAATTAACTGTTAAAACTAAATAGAAGGCTTCACTATTAAAATTCATCTGGGGCCAGTTGTGGCTCACAGCTATAGTCCTAGCACTTTGGGAAGCCCAGGGGGGAAGATTGCTTGGAGTCAGGAGTTTGAGACCAGTTTGAGCAAGAGTGAGACTTTGTCTCCACAAAAAAATACCAAACTCAGCTGGGCATAGTAGTGCATGCCTGTAGCCCCAGCTACTTGGGAAGCTGAGGCAGGAGGATCACTTGAGCCTAGGAGTTTGAGGTTACAGTGAGTTATGATGACGCCATGGCACTCTAGTCCTGGTGACTGAGTGAAAGTCTGTCTCAAATAGATGAATAAATAAGTAAATAAAATTCATCTGGTGGCTTCAGCCCAGTATTTCATTTTGTAGAAATTATTTTAAATATAGATTTTGCCATTGATAGTATTAGTAATTCAAAGCTAAGATGTGTCATCTCCTAGTTTAATATATTTTTACCATCCCAGAAACTCAATGGGCTTATTGGAAAAATGGAGATAATGTTAAAGAGAAATTTAAGGAATATGCATTATACATGGATTAAGGCTCTGTCACCTGTTTGGTCCCGTACATATACCTAAATTAAAACAAAACAAAAAAAAATCAGAGATCTTAAAAGAAAATTCCCCTGTGACCTTGTCATGCTTGATCATTAAATGGGCACAATCAATGATTAGATATAAATAATATAAATAAATTTTTTTATTTATAGATTTATAAATCAAGGGGTTGAAGACTGGAACTACCAGAATTTTTCCCTATGGGTAGTATCTCATCCAGGACAAGTGGTACTCACTGTGGTAAGTTAATGCCACTTTGATGTATGTATACAGGCATACTTTGGAGATATTGTGGGTTCAGTTCTAGATCACTGCAATAAAGTAAATATTACAGTAAAGCAAGTCACAAGAAATTTTGGTTTCCCAGTGCATATGTTATGTTTATACTATATTGTAGTCTATTAAGTATGCAATAACATTATGTCTGAAAAATTTACGAATCTTACTTTAAAAATAGTTAATGGCTAAGAAGTGCTAACAATCATCTTAGCCTTCAGTGAGTTGTAATCTTTTTGCTAGTGGAGCATCTTGCTCAATGTTGATGGCTGCTGACTGATCAGGATGCTGGTTGCTGAGGGCTGGAGTTGCTGCGGCAACTTCTTAAAATAAGACAACAATGACACTTGCCACACTGATTGACTCTTTTTTTCAGGAAAGGTTTCTCTGTAGTTTGTGATGCCTTTTGATAGCACTTTACCCACAGTAGAATTTCTTTCAAAATTATAGTTAATTCTCTCAAACCCTGCCACTGCTTTACAAACTAAGTTTATGGGAAATTCTAAATTCTTTGTTGTCATGTCAACAATGTTTATAGTGTCTTCACCAGGAGTAGTTTCCATCCCAAGAAAACCACTCTTTCCTCATCCATAAGAAGCAACTATTTATCCATTAAAGTTTTATCATAAGATTGCACCAATTCAGTCACATCTTCAAGATCCACATCTAATTCTAGTTCTTTTGCTATTTCTACCACATCTGCAGTTACTTCTTCCACTGAAGTCTTAGAATCAACTTCTTCCTAACTCCTGATAATGTTGGTATTCCTTTTATAAGTCACAGATGTTATTAGTAGCATCCAGAATGGTAAATCCTTTCTAGAAGGTTTTCAATTTGCCCAAATCCATCAGAGCAATCACTATGTCAGCTATAGCCTTACAATATGTATTTCTCAAATAGTAAGACTTGAAAGGCAAAATTACTCCTTGGTCCATGGGCTTCAGAATGGATGTGTGTTGGCAGGCATGAAAACAACATTCATCTCTTTGTACATCTCCATCAGAGCTCTTGGGTGACTAGGTATGTTATCAATGAACAGTAATATTTTTAAAGGAATCTGTTTTTCTGAGTAGTAGTTCTCAACAGTGGGCTTAAAATATCCAGTAAACCATGCTGAAAACAGATGTGCTATTATCCAGGATTTGTTGTTCCATTTATAGAGCACAGGCAGAGTAGATTTAGCATAATTCTTAAGGGTCCTAGGATTTTCAGAATGGTAAATGAGCACTGGCTTCAACTTAAAGTCACCAGTAACACTAGCCTCTAACAAGAGAGTCATCTTATTCTTTGAAGCTTTGAAGCCAGTCATTGACTTCTCATTTATAGCTTATAAAAGTTTTAGATGGCATCATATTCCTATAGAATGCTGTTTTGTCTACATTGAAAATCTGTTTTTTGGTATAGCCACCTTCAGCAATTGTCTTAGCTCAATATTCTGGATAACTTGCTGCAGCTTCTACACCAGTATTCGCTGCTTCACCTTGTACTTTTATAGCAACAACGGTATCTTTCCTTAAACCTCATGAACCACCCCTCTATTAGTGTTAAAATTTTCTTCTGCAGCTTCCGCACCTGCCAACCTTCTACAGAATTGAAGAGAGTTAGGGCCTTGCTCTGGATAAGGCTTTGGCTTAAGGAAATGTGGGAGCTGGTTTGTTGTTTTATCCAGACCCCTCAAACTTTCTCCATGTCAGCATCAGGCTGTTTCACTTTCTTACCATTCATGTGTTCACTAGAGTGGCACTTTTAACATCCTTCAAGAACTTTTCCTTTGCATTCACAACTTGGCTAAGTGTTTGGCTCAAGAGGCATAGCTTTTAGCCTATCTCAGCTTTTGACATGGCTTCCTCACTAAGCTTAATCATTTGTAACTTTTGATTTTAAGAGATAGGTGCGCAACATTTCATTTGAACACTTGGAGGCCCTTGTAGGGTTATTAATTGGCCTAAATGTAATACTGTTGTGTCTCTGGATTAGGGAGGCCCTAGGAGAGTGAGACAGATGGAGGAACAGCTGGATAGTAGAGCAGTCAGAACACAAACAATATTGCTTGATTAAGTTCACCATTTTATATGGGCACAGTTCGTGGTGCCCCCAAATAATTAAAATAGTAACATCAAAGATCAGTGATCACAGATCACCACAACAGATATAATAATGAAAAAGTTTGAAATATTTCAAGAATTACCAAAATGTGACACAGAAACATGAAGTGAGCACATGCTGTTGGAAAAATGGCACTGACAGACTCCCTTGATGCAAGGTTGCCACAAATCTTCAATTTGTAAAAATCTATTATCTGCTAGGCACAATAAAGTGATGCACAATAAAATGAGGTATCATTGTATAAGTATTTAGTTTGTAGCTACATTGCCAAGAAAGCAAAGATTTGGAAAATAACCATTATTAGGGATACTGGTATCTGTAGCTTACTCTGAAAGGCATTAAAAATAAGATAGATATGTGATCAACTAAATATTGTTCATTGTAGAATATAGGTGGTAAGTATACGGATATTCACTGTACAATTCCTTCAACTTTTCTATAGTTTTGAAAATTTTCATAATGTTGAATGAAAATAAACCATAAATTATTTTCCTAGAATTGTCACTATACTGCAGTGCATTAGTTTTCTACTGCTTTCATGAAAAAGTTACTATAAACTTGGTGGCTTAAAACAACACAAATTTATTTTCTTATAGTTTGGAAGGTTAAAAGGCCAACACAGGTCCCTGGGCTAAGATTAAATTGTCAGCAGAGCTGTGTTGCTTTCTGGAGGCTCTAGGGGAGAATCTATTATCTTTCCTTTTCCAGCTTCTGATGGCCACTGGCATTCCTTGCTTTGTGGCACCTTCCTCCATCTTCAAAGCCAGCAATGTTGTATTTCTCTGACCGTTCTTCTGTAGTCATATTTCCCTCTGAAAAAGTTACCCGATTTTAAGGATACATGTGATTAAATTGGGCCCATCCAGATAATCCAGAGTAATCCCTATTATCTCAAAATTCTTAATTTAATCATGTCTGCAAAGTCCCTTTTGCCATATACAGTAACATATTCACGGGTTCTGAGGATTCGGACATGGATCTTTACTGGGAGCCATTATTCTGGGTACCACATATGTATTTGCTAAAGCTATTATTGCTTTTTAGGAGCTCAAAAGAGAAGGAAAACTAGGAAATTGTGGTGTCAAGAAAGCCAAAATTGGTAGTTCTTTTGAGAAGTAGTTGTTGAAGCTAGAGGAGTAGTAAATTTTCCCCAGGAGAATGTATAGAATAAGAGAAGAGGGACAAGGAGAAACCCTAAGGAACATCAACATTGAAGCAGTAGGCAAAAAAGGGGAATTCATGAAGAGGACTGAAAACTAGTGGCCAGGAAAAAAGAAAGGAAAAGAAAAATTATGAGGGTTATCATGCTAATAGAGAAAAAAGGGACTTTTTTTTCTCTAGAAAAATTGAGCTCCCAAAAGTGAGTGGTCCTAATTTTTAAAGATCTAAAGAGGTCTAAAAACTCTACTATATCTGTCAGTTATGAGGTTTAATGTGAACTTAGAGACAGTAATTTTTCAGCAGTGAAGGTAGAAGCCACATTGCTATGTGTTACCATTATCAAGTATTTTTAAAGCATACTTGACTTGTTCTCTATTCAATTTTAAAACAATATCATGTGTGACCATCCCCCAAATGTTATACATCTCACTCATTGTGTTTGTATATATCCATCACCTCCTCCCCCTCCCCACCTGCCTGACACCCGATAGATGTTTTTCCTGTATGTCCACTTAGGTGTTGATCCATGAATACCAATTTGCTGGTGAGTACATGTGGTGCTTGTTTTTCCATTCTTGAGATACTTCACTTAGTAGAATGGGTTCCAGCTCTATCCAGGAAAATACAAGAGGTGCTATATCACCATTGTTTCTTAAAGCTGAGTAGTACTCCATGTTATACATATACCACATTTTATTAATCCACTCTTGGATTGATGAGCACTTGGGTTGTTTCCACAGCTTTGCAATTGTGAATTGCGCTGCTATAAACATTTGAGTGCAGGTGTCTTTTTCATAAAGTGACTTTTGATCTTCTGGGTAGATGCCCAGTAGTGGAATTGCCGTATCAAATGGTAGATCTACTTGTATTGCTTTAAGGTATCTCTATATTGCTTTTCACAGAGGTTGAACTAGTTTGCAGTCCCACCAGCAGTGTAGGAGTGTTACTATCTCTCCGCATCCATGCCAACATTTATTGTTTGGGGACTTTTAGATAAAGGCCATTCTCACTGGGGTTAAGTGATATCTTATTGCAGTTTTGATTTGCATTTCCCTGATGATTAGAGATATTGAGCATTTTTTCATGTTTGTTGGCCATTATTCTGTCTTCTTTTGAGAAGTTTCTGTTCATGTCCTTTGCCCATTTTTGGATAGGGTTGTTTGATTTTTTTCTTGCTGATTTTCCCGACAGATTCTAGTTATCAGCCCTTTATTGGAGGTGTAGCTTGCAAAAATTTTCTCCCATTCTGTGGGTTGTCTGTTTGCTCTCTTGACAGTTTCTTCGGCTGTGCAGAAGCTTTTTAATTTGATCGAGGGGGGAGGGGAACATGGACAATATATGTAACCTTAACATTTGTACCCCCATAATAAGCTGAAAAAAAAAAAGAAATAAAAAAAAGAAACTCAAACAACTCTCTAGAAAGAAAACAATTCAAATAAAAAACAGCGAGGGAACTGAATAGACATTTCTCAAAAGAAGATATACAAATGGCCAACAGATACATGAAAAAATGTTCAACATCACTAAAACCATTAGGGAAATGCAAATTAAAACCACAATGAGATGTCATCTCACATCTGTCAGAATGGCTATTATCAAAAAACTAAAAGATAAGTGTTCTCAAGGATTTGAAGAAAAGGGAAGCCTTGTTTGTATACTATTGATGGGAATGTAAATTAGTATAGCCATTATGGAAAACTGTATAACGGTTCCTCAAAAAACTAAAAATAGAACTACTGTATAATCCAGCAATCTCACTACTGTGTATATATTCAAAGAAAGTGCAATCAATATATTGAAGAGATAATCTACACTGCTATATTCATTGCAGCATCATTCACAATAGCTAAATTAGGGAATCAACCTATCAATCTATCAACTGATGAATGGATAAAGAAAATGTAGTATATATACACAATGGAATGCTACTTAGCCTTAAAAAGAAAGAAATTCTCTCATTTGCAACAGCATGAATAGATTTGGAGAATGTTATGCTAAGTGAAAGAAGCCAGGCACAGAAAGACAAGTACTGCACTTTCTCACTTGTATGTGGAATCTAAAACAATCAAACTCTAGATGCAGAGAGTAGAATGGTGATTACCAGAGGCTAGGGGTGGGTGGAATGGGGAGATATTTGAAGGGTACAAAGCCTCAGTTAGACAGGAGGAATAAACTATTTTCTTGAAAAAAAAAAAAAAACAATATCACATCCTATGTTGCCTTGACCCATCACAATTTTTAAGATTGTAGACACAAATTATGATTATAGCAAATCTTCTTGTTTCCTTCTGCTGTCCACTTGACTGAATATTGATAAAATATTCTCAGATTTAAGCTGAAGAACTTGTTTAAACTGTTCTTTATAAAGGTGGCAAAGTTACAATGAGTCAATCTGCACATTTCTGTAGTTTAACAGGAATTCAAATAATCAAATCTGCTCTACTAACAAAAGATCTTCTCCAGATCCCGCATCTTCTAAACATCCTTAACAATAAGAAGCAGGCTGTATTTTGTTTCCAGAAATACTTTATGATAGACCTCAGCTTCAATCACTGAATGTACTTGTACCAAAGTTTTCCCCACAACTGCCCTACCTACTGCTAATTTCCCACCCAGGGTGCAATTTACAACCCCCCTTTCTCTTGCATTTCTGCATATGTTACATGACTAGGAGTTGCCTCTTGATAGATGTAAAAAGACACCTATAGGGGAATGGGGATAATTACATGTCTGCATATATTGGCCTTTGAGAGAATTTTTAATATGGATTTATCCAAGATATAGTAATTAAAAATTCCTTTATAAACAAACAAACAGAAAGTTAAAAGTCTGGTTCACAATGTCCCTAACCAAAACCAAATCCTCCTTCAGCCAACACTGATACAACCTAGGTATCTACCCACTGGATGTTCTCTCCTGAGGCTGTGGATATTGAATAAATGTCTCAAGAACAGTAGTACAGTGTCATTTGACCAGTCTCTGCTGTGACATGATCTTTACAATGGTTCCTGCTGCCTTGTCTCAGACTGTTGCTCCTGCTCACTTCCCAAGCCCCAGTCTCTAGCCTCCAATTGATCTGCTGATTACGAGCCTACAACGTCCTTAAAGAAAGTCAGAGTTAGTTTCTGTTCCATGCAACCAAGAATGCATACACCAGGTTTCCCATCCTGTATGTACCCTCTTATCTTGCTCTGGAAAAATCTCACTATACACACACACACACACACATATCATCTATGCTAATTACTCCATATGTGTATCTTTATCACTCTACTATGTTTCTTAAGTACTTCAAATTCAATATATCCCCAAATGAATTCATTATGCCCCCTTACCCACAACATACTCTTCCTCCAATAGGTATTATCTTAGTGAGTGATTGGAATCACAGCTTATCCAATTTTACAAGCCAGAAACCAATAAACTATCTTGATGTATCTCCTCCCTTTAACTTCCAGAGTCCACCTGACCTTACTCCAGTATCCGTCTTAAAACAGTATATGTGGGAAGAGTGAGTGTCAAAAGATGGATCAAATGACAGAATTTATAGAAACTCTCTGAAAACTACAATTGCAGACTTAATATATTCTTGGTATATTAATTCTAAGTTCAATAGAAAAAGCAGCATTAATTTCATCTTGGAGTTTTCTACCATTGTTACTGTCCCAGGTTATTACTTTGTGATGATAGATTAAGAACACAAGATTTAGAAAGTACAAAGGAATAAGGCCTCTATACGCATTATTCAAAGTTCAGTCTTTAGCCCTCAAATATGTACAAATGTGTAAACTCTTTTACATACACACAAGTTCACTCACACATATTCCACATATACTTCACAAAAATACGTTTTAATTTAAAATAAAATTTATGCTTCAGTTATCATACATGTCTCTTTCCTTTTCAGAGCCAGATCATGTTTTATGGTGATTGTATCAAGAGTTTTGGGAGTTCTCATTCAAAAGAAGAGTTGGAAAGTGTCCATGCTGATGTGATATGTCATCTAGAAGAGGTTACGGGGCTGGTAGTGTTGGATACTAGTAACTCTCGAACAAAAGCTGTACTAGGAGCACTACTTACCCTTTATGTTCACTGCAGAGATATAGTGATAAATTTACTGCTTAACAATATCTTCAATGCAGAGGATTTTGAGTGGACAAGGTAGGCAGATCTAAATTATAACTATATACAGTAACTTCTCATAAACATATCTTTAGGTAAATTGACTCTATACCTCAAACTGTGTCAAACTTGAGTTTTAATTTTGGGAGACTTACAAAAATTCTAAGCAAATTGCACCAATTTGACTTAGTAGTCTCCCCTCATCTGTGGTTTTGCTTTCCATAATTTGAGTTACCCACAGTCAGCCACGGTCTGAAAATAGGTAAGTACAGTACAATAAGGTATTTTGAAAGATAGAAAGACCACATTCACATAACTTTTATTATTGTATATTGTCATAATTATTCTATTTTATTATCAGTCACTGTTGTTAATCTCTGTGCCTAAATTAAATTTTGACATAGATACATATATATAGGAAAAATATATATATTTCCTATATATATGTGTATATATATATATATACACATATATATAGGAAAAAAATAGTACAGTATTTATAAGGTTTGAAACAATATGCAGCTTCAGGCATCCACCAAGGGTCATGAAACCTGTCTTCCACAGATAAGAGGGGACTATTTTACCATATTCTTGTTTTTCCTTCTTTCTGTTTTCTCCTCCCCCTCATTTTTATCTGTTTTATCTTCCTAACCTAATTACGCTCTTCTGGTAGTTGCATTTTCCCTTCTGCCATTCAGACAGAGGGCAATAGTTGTCAATGGGCAGTGAGAACTCTACCTCAAGCCCCTTCTTTCACCTGAGCTGTCAATTCTGGAAGAGACTATGATGGAGAAACAAATTGGAGAACATTTCCTACCAACTCCTTAACTCCAAACTACCTTCCTTCTATCCAGAGTCAATTAGTAAAATATGAAAATACAGAAAAATGGAGCCACTACTTTTGGTGAGGAGATCAAGCATAAGATTTTTATAATAAATGTGACATTTCAAACTTTTTAATTAATATTTTAAAGGTTTTCTTTGTTCATAGAAAAACAAGTGTCTTGCCTATATCATTTAAGGTTTTTGGTTTTCAAGAAAAGTTAATTTTTAAGAAATTCTGCAGTTAGCATAAAATTACTTATTTTAGGTATGACAATTTCTTTTAAACTCTAGGGAGTTCTGGCCAGAGAAATTAGGCAAGAGGAAAAAATAAAGGGCATCCAAATTGGAAAGGAAGAAGTCGAATTTGCCTTGTTGACAGATGACATGAACACCTAGAAAAACCTAAGGACTCCACCATAAAACTGTTAGAACTTATAAATGAATTCAGTAAAGTCACAGAATACAAAATCAACATAAAAAAATCAGTAGCATTTATGGATGCCAATAGCGAACAATCTGAAAAATAAATCAAGGAAACAACCCCATTTACAATAGCTACAAAAATATATAAAATACCTAGTAATCAATCTAACCACAGAAGTGATAATTCAATACAAGGAACACTATAAAACTTTGATGAGGCAGGGCGCGGTGGCTCATACCTGTAATCCTAGCACTCTGGGAAACTGAGATGGGTGGATCATTTGAGCTCAGGAGTTCAAGACCAGCCTGAGTAAGACCAAGACCCTGTCTCTACTAAAAAATAGAAATCAATTAGCTGGAAAACTAAAAGTATATAGAAAAATTAGCTGGGCATGGTGGTGCATGCCTGTAGTCCCAGCTACTCGGGAGGCCGAGGCAGTAGAACCACTTGAGCCCAGGAGTTTGAGGTTGCTGTGATCTAGGCTGATGCCATGGCAGTCTAGCCAGGGAAACAGAGTGAGACTGTGTCTCAAATAAATAAATAAATAAATATATAATAAAAATAAATACATAAAAAAACAAAATGAAAAAAAACTGATGAAAGATATATAAGAGGACATAAAGAATGGAAAGATATTATATGCTAAAGATATTCTATGCTAAAATAATATTTTAACAATGACAATGCTTCCCAAAGCAATTTACAAATAAAGTACAATTCTCATCAAAATGCCAATGGCATTCTTCAGAGAAATAGAAAAACCAATTATATGGAACCACAAAAGACTCCAAGTAACCAAAGCAATCCTGAGCAAAAAGAACAAAGCTGGCGGCATCACACTACCTGGCTTCAAATGTGTTGTACCAAGACAACATGATACTGACATAAAACAGACATATGGACCAATGGAACAGAATAGAGAATCCAGATATAAATCCACACATTCACAACCAACTCATCCTTAACAGAGACACCAAGAACTTATTAATACAATGAGGAAAGGACTGTCTTTTCAATAAATGGTGCTGGGAAAACTTGATACCTGTAGCAGAAGAATGAAACTAGACCCCTATCTCTCACCATACTAAAATATCAAGTCAAAATGGAATAAAGACTTGAATCTAAGATCTGAAACTATGAAACTACTAGAAAAAAAACATTGAGGAAATGTTCGAGGACATTGATCGTGACAAAGGCTTTTCATGTAGGACCTCAAAAGCATAGGCAACCAAAGCAAAAATAGATAATTGGGATTACATCAAGCTAAAAATCTTCTGCAAAGCAAGGAAACTGTCAACAAAATGAATAGACAATCCATAGGATAATCTCTTAATTACCAGAGAGGATATATCATGTTTATGAACCATACTGTGCAAAAAAGTCTAGTATTTCATTATTACTTTGTATTAACTCTTTTTAAAAATGAAAATTAAAATGTATAAGAATATATATAGAAAAGTAAACTAGGAAAGAGAAGATTCTAATAATGCTTTGTAAATGTGTCTGAGTTTAGGGTTACAGTTCTCAAACTGTGTGCCAAGGTGCCCCAAGCCACCATAGAGAATTCACAAGGGCTCTGCAAGCTATTTTAAACTCTTGGAGGAATCACAGCAATATACATCTATCAGACATCAAATATACTAGCAGCTCAAAATAGTTCACAGATGTAACATCATATCCTACTTGATACCTTTCAATGATTTCTTATCCTTGCCAGGCTAGGTTTTTGGCAGTTGCCCTGATTAAAATTTAAATATTCCATGAAAATCACTGTGGCAACAGGAAATGAGGTTGGCAGTATCCAATCTGATCCCAAGGTTATAGAAGGTTTGCGAAGTGGTACAGTGCACAATAGGGATACACATCCCATTAAAAATAAAATAATTTTTTCTTTTAATTTACTTATATAGTTTTAAAAAATAATCTATTAAATCATTAAAACAAAAATACTTTTTAAGCTATTATGACCTAAAAATTAATAAAAAGACCTGTTAGATATTTCTTTGGGCCTAGTGTCATCATGAAAAAAATTACTGAGGTAAACTGAGAAAGTTTGGGAACCTCTGTTTTAGGGTAAGAATAATGGAGGGGCTAAAGCTCTGAAAATGGATCTTCTATTTAAATACTGCTTTAGCACTTGAATCATAAAACAAATGCTCATTCTTAAGATAGAAAATTCCTTTTAAAAATTTCATTTCCTTTAACAAGTACTTCTATCTCTCATGAATATATGCCTCTCATCTGATACTTTGCAATGTAGTAGCTTAAAATTTTTTAAAGATTTCTTTTATTTTTAATTTAAACTTAATTTAAAAATTTACTGGTTTTCAAACTTTCTTTATAATCTGCCCTGTTGTTCCAGAAAGGATTTAAAAATATTTATAAGAATATACAAGCTACTATATGATAGCATAAATTGAAAGTGAGTGGAATGAGAGAAGGCAAACAAAGGCAAAAACCAATGCCTGTGTAAGACCTTTAGTAACTCTAACTTCTGAAAAGATACTGTGTCTGACTCCACTTATAATTAAAAATCAAAATAGTGCTAAACTATTAAAAATGTAATGGTTTATCCCATGATGATGTTTCGATGTTTTCTAAAAATATCAAATGTGAAATTCTTTCCAAAATACTGTTTGATATTTCTTCACTAATCGTACCCAAATATGTTTATTTTAAAAATTGAGTCAGCACTTATGGGGACATAAAATAGAGTCAAGAATGCATATCACAAAGCTACAAATAGTTTACAAATTTAACTCAAAGCCTTGTAGAGGAGAAAATGTATTGTTAGCTACATAGATGAACACAAATCAATTGCTCCAAAGTTCAAACTTTCTGATACTTAGAACAAATAGCATTTCTCTCAAGTACCCTTATAGTAAGGATCCAGATTATAATGAATATTGTCTTCTATCACATTCTTGTTGGAAATCATAATAAACTTCATTGAGGTGATTCTTACATAAATCTTCCATTTAAGCCGATATCACATCAAAACAGCACCATTCAGCAAGGTCGTTTGCCTCAGAGGAAAGCATGCTCAGATGTTTGCAGTCTTCTGAGTTCTCATATTTCATATTTAATACAGTCATTGATGAATTTTACATCATTCTTCTCATTTGATTTTAATGTTTTTATTTCTGTATTTTAATCAACACTCCATTTTTAATCTTGATTATGTTTCTGCATGTGAAAAAAATAATTTTACCAATATCATAGGAGCATTTATAATATTGTTTTCAGACATTTGCAATATAAGTGGAATGAAAAACAAAAGTTGTGCTATGTGTCTCAAGGAGATGCTAGCTTTACTTACGGCTATGAGTACTTGGGCTGCACGCCAAGATTGGTTATCACGCCTCTCACAGACCGGTGCTGGCTAACTCTCACCGGAGCGCTGCATTTGAATCTAGGAGGCTGTCCTGCTGGTCCAGCTGGCACTGGAAAAACTGAAACTGTCAGAGACCTAGCAAAAGTAAGTGCCTTCTATATCTAGAATAAAAAGTTCCTTTTATTTTCCTGTTACACAAACTTTAATGGTATGTTAAATTTATAGCATTCCTGCTATTAAGATGTTCATTCATAAGCTGTCAAAAGAGAGCTAGCAATTCTATCAGGTGTTTGTTGAATGCCTTTACACCATTGGAATGGAAATGGTTATATACATTTACCGTTTAGTTAATTATTGTTAAATATTTTTTCTATAAACATGCACATTCATTAATTCATATAATTCATCAGTTAAGTTTTGAATGTTTGTCGTGTGCTGGGACTTGGGATCTCAGTAAACCAACATATGCTTTGTGTTTACTTGAAATGCTGCTATACTGACTGACATGTGAATGATTGATATCACCGTGTGTGTGCGTGTGTGTGTGTGTGAGAGAGAGAGAGAGAGAGAGAGAGAGAGAGAGTAATAGTAGTACTAGTAACTGATAAAAGCAAAGGATATAGTTTGTCACACTAGAATTTTTTATAGTTTTTATTTGTAAATTTGTGTAAAAACATGACCTTACCACTCTATGAACAAATCAACTAAACTATAACAATATATGGACATTTATACTATATCAAGTTTTGTGAATCTCTAAATTTGGTATCTAATTTATCATTATAAATTTTATCTTTATAAATTTTTTTATCATTATAAATTTATCTTTATAAATTTATAAAATTTATCTTTATAAATTTATCTTTATAAATTTTATCTCAAAATAATAAAGACATTTTAATACCAGGACAGTTTTAACATTAGTATTCTGTGTTGTAATTCAGGAAATATGTTAAAATAATATTTTTGCTTCTCAGTCCTTAGGCAAACATTGTGTGGTCTTCAACTGTTTTGAGGATTTGGACTATAAGGTAAAGCTTAAACATATATACTCAAGAAAAAAATACTTTACACATAAAACAATGCACTGAAGATTAAAAGAACAAGAAAAATACGTATCTTAGGGAGACATTAAGTATTAATAGAACTTTAAATGCTGTTAATTCTTTTAAACAGAATAGAAACCAAGAATGTAATAGAAACTTAAAACATATACTTTGCTTTTAGTTCAAGTGAACTACTCCTTAAGACTGTGGTTTTCAAACTTTTTGACAGTATCTTACTGTCAAAATAAGATTTTATTAACATGAATATGTAAAACAATTAAGAGTACTGTTTATGAATGTAAATTTATTTTAAGTCCTAACTCTATACATTTATTTACTGAAAAGGTAATCATTAAGAACAAGGCTATTATGATTAACACAAAAATTTGAGAATTTATATAGATGATGACTATGAGTTTGTCTGTCTTGTTTGAGCATTATCTAAGACCTATCTCATAACATTCTGAAATATTTGTAATTCAAATTGCATGGACCTCTGTGTATGTCTCTTACAAATTTACTCACTTTCAAAATACTGCAATTTGTTTTGCGTATTAAGTTCAAACCCTTTACATTTTACTGCTGTCATTTTATTTGCTGTTCAAAGCACATTCATTACCACTCAGATCCTGCATTTCCAATTTGTGCTCATTTAGCACATTAAAAATATCAACAAACATAAATAAGCTGATTCAATTATTATTTTTAGAGTACTTACCAGATAGTCTCTTGCCTCCTCCCTGGAAACTACCTTCCAGTGGGGCCCAGGAGGACTGTGTCTAGGGTAGGGTGAGTGAGGCACTTGCCTGCTGAACAAAATGTAAAAAAAGGGAGCCAGAAAGCCTCATAATCAAGATAATATTTTAATGCAATATTTTAAAACCAAAATTAATGCCAAAAAATTCCATGATTAACAAAACATGACAATTTTAAATAAAGACGACATCTGATTCCTGCTACCCAGTGGGAGGAACCAACTTCTGTATCTATCCCTGTCCAAGGGTCTCTCTTGTTGGTTCTGATTCCCTCTTCCTTCCCTCTGGGATGCCTCCCAAAACCTCCTTATAGAGTGCAGGCAATCCTCAACTGGTACCTAGCCCACGCCCATGGAGTTCTGTTTGGCCTGTCATTGTTTTTGTTTGCTTTGTTGTTTTGTTTTAGTTGCTAACATCTACAAATCAGTAGATTTCAGTCCAGACTTTTCAGTCTCTCACAGAACACTAGTATACCTGGCCAACCTGGGCCTGCACCCTGGCAACTGGTGGAAGCCCAGTAGCAGCCACATGCCTTCGCTGGGCCCACTCCAGTCTGGACCAGAATCTATACTGGGTCCGGCTCAATCCTCTGCATTACTTGGAAAAGGGAGTCCCTATTCTAACACTTTACACTGGAAAGTTGTCATAAAGACTGCACCAGGGGGAGGCTCTGTGAGGTGAATGGCAGCTGCAGAAGGGTCTGGAGTCACTCTGCACAGTCTGTTGTTACCTATGGCCTGGTTTGCACAGTCCCTGTGAGCATGAGTTTGCTATGGTGTGTTTAGGCTTTTTCAAGAGACAGGCAGAGTAGTTGGCTCTCTAGAGTCTAAGCAGCTGCTGCTTTCAGCACTACAAAGATACTTGTAGGGAGGAAATGCAAAAAGTGTTTGCTTGATTTGGTTAAGATGGGAAGAACATGTACAAATTAATATCCCAGTTAAATTTCTCGCCTTTGTAATAATTTCAGTAATCTTTTTATTTTTAAAGATAGTGAGAAAATTCTTCTTTGGACTAGTTCAGTCGGGAGCATGGTGTTGTTTCAATGAATTCAATCGAATTAATGTGGAAGTTCTCTCTGTCATTGCCTCACTGATCCTAACAATTAAGGCTGCAAAGGACAGCTATTCTGTCAGGTATTTGTTGGATGCATTTATACCTTTTGAATGGAAATCTGATACACATTTACTGTTTAGTTAATTATTGTTAAATATCTTTTCTGAAACAAGGGTTTGTGTCTTTGGGGATTTTTTTTTAAAAGCTCAAAAAGACTGGCACTTAAGTGTTTTCTTTGCTTGGAAAATTGTGTGAAAATATATATAACTCTAACTTTCAGACCAACATCAAGGCAACAAGTATCCAACCTCTTGCCCAAGCTTTGCAACAGTCTCCTGAGATACCAGGGCACTGATGCAAACATTAATATGTTCTAATTGCTTTTTTTTCCAGCTTAAATTCCCTTACAGCCTTTTCATCTTAGGATATTGCATTTGAAGAAACCAAATGAAAGTTGCTTATTTTTTTCTTTAAATCTGCATCCTTTTAAAAAACAAAATTATACTGGCCACTCAGTTGAAACCCCCTTTTGTCTCATTATTCTGAATTAATGTGTTTTTATTGAAAAACTCTGCAGTAACAGTATTTGTTAGAATTATTAGTGTTTCATAATACAAGCAAATTTTTTTCTCTGCAGATAAGTTTGAAATTTACATGATTTACTTTATGGACACAAATGGATTTGTGGGTTTAAAATTTTTATTATAATCAAATATTTCTAATTTAAGCTAATGGACAGTAACTTGTGGCTTTACTCTGATGACGTTGTTGCAACTGTCAGAACTAGTGTTACCAGACCTCATAAATCTGTAGATGGAACTAGGGGTCACAGTAACTCACATTTCACCAACTCTTTGCTGTACTTCAGCCTCTGCTAAGTCTTCCCCATTTGTGTCCAGGGAGTCCTCAGTTTTTTTGTCCCAGTTATTTTCCCATTTTGACCACCCTCTTTGGTATCAACTATCCAGGAAATGACTACAGGATTTTTCCCTATTGTCTCTACCACTGGTGCTAACTATAGGGTGCAATGTCCATGCCAAGGACATCAGACTATCTCACAATGGTCCCAAAATTTTAACTTGGTGCAGGGGGACTTGAGAGATGGGCTATGTTCCATGCTGAAGCAGGAGCTCTATGTTGTGCCCCACTCTGTGTTCTACTGTATCATCCAGGCAGAGCTATTTCATATCCCAAGTGTCTCCTCAGGTTCCTTTTGCTGTGTAAGTCAACTCATTCAGATGGGTACGTGCCAGCCTCAGGCCCCACAAAGCTCTTCAGACATCTTTAGACATGATCAAGTATATGTGAATCCCAGCAGTGGTCACAACTTTGGCTCAAGATGAACCTCTTCTCTTTCTCTTACCACACTTTTTTCCAATGTGCTTTGTTTGGATTTAAATGTAAGACAGCTTTAAAAAGGTTCCTAAACTCACTTATAGTTTTAACTTACTTTGGACTAGAGAAAACAGTTCTAGTAATGAATACTGTAATGTCTTACAGGTTTGTACTGGAAGGAAAAGAAGTTCGCATTAATGTGTCTTGTGCAGTATTTATCACCATGAATCCTGGGTAAGTGTCAGTGAGTCTGGTCAATGTGGACGCAGGCCAAAATCCTTTTCTTAAATTTTATCTATAGATGGAGTTGTCTGACATTGTATCTCTGTCATTCACCCTCCACCACCCTCTGAACCTTTCCACTACTGACACCATTTGTGAACAGCTACAACTCCACACCTATTCATGTGGATAATTTCACAGTAACCTTCTGACCCAGACCCATTTTTACTTCATGAATGTCCAGAGGGAAAAGAAAAGGTGATCAGTTTTTCATAAAGAGGACACAGGCAGAAAAGCTGATGAGAATGGCAAGAGGGATAAGAATATGGTGGTTATAAGGAATGGATGTTGGGCAAGTTCAACAAATATCTGCATGAATGCTACAATAACCCAGAGAATCAGAGGGTGAATTATTGGAGGAGGCACAGGAAGAAAATATCATCAACCAGGAAGTACTATGGTTTTATTTTATTTTCAGATAATGGTCACATAGAAAGCCACTAGAATTATTTGAGGGAAAAGTATATTATGTGGGTCCTCATTTGAAAAATTGAAAAGTGGTGAGTTTTTTGTTTGTTTTTCTTTTCCTCTTCAGGTATACAGGTCGAGTAGAGCTTCCAGATAACTTAAAATCTCTGTTTCGCCCAGTGGCAATGATGGTGCCCCATTATCAAATGGTTGCTGAAGTAATACTATTTTCATTTGGTTTCAAATCTGCAAAATCACTTTCTGGAAAGGTAGCTAACCTTTATGAGTTAGCTAGCAAACAGCTCTCACAACAGGTAAAGAACTACTTTTCTTCAAATGTTTAAAGGTGATTTTATAAAAATAACTTTAAATAATACTTTTCTGGTATTGGTCCAGGAATGACCTGAGACCTTACTAAATAACGGAGCTAGAATTCCTATCAACACATGAAGTCTGTATGCAAGCTTAGGTGTAAGGCAAAATGTAAAATCAATCAAGATTCCAAGCCTTTCCTCCAAGATCTGGGGAGTAATGAAACATCTATTATTTTAAATTATAGACTACTTTCTCCATGTAAGGAAGTTAATATCTAGAGCAGTTGTGCTCTAACTTTATTGTGCATCAAAATAATTTGGAGGAATTATTAAAACACAAAGTGCTGGGCCTTGGCCCAAGTTTTGAATTGTGTTTCTGGTAGGGGGCTCAAGAATTTGCATTTCTAACAAGTTCTCAAGTGTTACTTATGCTGCTGATCTGAGTACCACACTTTGATAATTATTATTCTAGGATATACCAACTTAATGAGTATTTGTTTCTTACCCAAAATGGTTTGGACAGCTTGCCACATTTTCCAAAAATGTGGATAAATTATCTTTTAATATTCTTTAATTTATCTCTTTTCAGTTCAGAGAATATTTAATTCAGACACTGATAAGTTTTTAACACCTTTAATACTTGTTATTCTTTCTCTTAAGAAAGAGCCTTTAAAAAGAGCATCAGTTTGGAAGAGAAATTAGAGCATCAGAAGCAGAGCTGAGGGTTTCTTGCATTCATATCATTGTTTCCCTTCATAGAATAAAAGACCAGTTAATTTAACTATATACTGTATGTATGTATTTTCAAATGGCTCTGTTTTGTCTTTATGAATTTTAATTACTCAAATATTTTAATGTTTGATAGGACCATTATGATTTTGGCTTGAGGTCCCTGAAGACAATTTTAGTAATGGCTGGAAAGAAGAAACGGGAGTTTAAATGGTCAGTTGAATTTTGAATTGAGTGTTAGGTAAAAAAGGGAGTTATATACTGCTGGGAAAATAATTTGTAGGATTTTAAGTAATGATGACAAGTTAAAACAGGGAGTCCCCAGAGTGTCATAGTAAAATATGGTAGAGGTTATTTAAGAATATGAAAGAAGAGAAAGAAAAAAATGCATAAATTCACTAAGTACCTTTCCCTAATAAAGCCTATGCTTTTAAAAGAAAGTGCTTTACATTTATATAATAAAAGATATAATGGAATAAAAGACCCCATGTAGAAAAGCAATAAGTTAATGAGAAATGTCAAACCTATATGAATAAGCCTATATGAGAAATGTATAAAGCCCATATAAGAAAAACTTTAAAATAGTATTGAAAGAAATGAAAATGTGAATAAATGAAGTAATACACCACATTTATAATATCATAACATCTTTTTTTAAAATTTCAATAGATTTAAGGGGTACAAGTTGTATTCTGTTACTTGTATGTATTGTATAGTGGTGAAGTCTAAGCTTTTAGTGTACACATCACCCAAATAGTGTATATTGTACCCCATAGGTAATTTTTCATCCTTCACACCCTCCCACCTTACCCCCTTTTAGTTCTATAGTATCCATTATACACTCTGTCATTCCTTGCATAGCCATAGCTTAGTCCCCACTTAAAGTAAGAACCCACGGCATTTATTTTTCTGTTCCCAAATTACTTCACTTAGGATAATGGCCTCCAGTTCTCCATCCAAAAGAAATTGCTGCAAAAGAAATTGTTTTGTTCTATTTTATGGCTGAGTAGTATTCCATGGTATGTATGTATACCACATTTTCTCTCCACTCATCAGCTGATGGGCAGTCAGGTCGATTCCATATCTTTGCAATTCAGAATTGGGCTGCAAGAAACATATGAGTGTAGGTGTCTTTTTGATACAATGATTTCTTTTCCTTTGGGTAGATACCCAGTAGTGGGATTGTAGGATCAAAGAGTACATCTACTTTTAGTTCTTTGAGAAATCTCTATGCTTATCTCCATAGAGATTGTACTAATTTACATTCCCAACAACAGTGTATAAGCTTTCCCTTTTCATTGCATACATGCCAACATCTATTATTTTTTGCCTTTTAATATCTGTTCTAATTGGAGTAAGATGGCATCTCACTTGGTATTAATTTGCATTTCCCTGATGATTAGTGATGTTGAGCATTTTTTCATATGGTGTTGGCCAGTTGTCTATCTTCTTTTGAAAAATGCCTGCTCATGTCATTTGCTTACTTTTTAATGGGGTTGTTTATTTTTTTCTTGGTGAGTTATTTGTATTCCTTGTAGATTCTGGATATTAGTCCTTTGTCATATATATGCTTTGGAAATATTTTCTCCCATTCTGTAGGTTGTCTATTTATTCTTTTATTTCTTTTACTGTGCAGAGGCTTTTTAATTTAATTAAGTCCCATTTATCTATTTTTGTTTTTATTACATTTGCTTTTGGGGTCTTAGTCATAAATTCCTTAGGCCTATGTGCAGAAGAGTTTTTCCTACGTTATCCTCAAGGCTTTTTATTGTTTCAGGTCTTACATTTAAATTTTTAATCCATCTTGAGTTAATTTTTGTATATAGTGAGAAACAGGGATCTAATTTCATTCTTCTGCATATGGCTATCCAATTTTCCCAGCACCATTTGTTGAATAGAGTGTCCTTTTCCCCATGGATGTTTTTCTCTGCTATGTCAAAGATCACTTGGTTGTAAGTATACGGTTTTCTTTCTGGTTTAGCTATTCTGACTCATTGATCTATGTTTCTACCTTTTTGCCAATACCATGCAGTTTGGGTTACTATAAACTTGTAATATAATTTGAAGTCAGGTAATGAGATGCCTCCAGTTTTGTTCTTTTTGTTTAGGATTGCTTTGGCTATTCAGGCTCTTTTTTGGTTCTACATGAGTTTTAGAATTGTTTTTCTAATTCTGTGGAAAATGATGTTGGCATTTGATAGGAACATACGGTTGACTCTCAAATATACAATCAAGGTGTTTAAATTTTAAAAATCCAAAAAGCAGTATGTGTTTCCTAGGGCTGCCATATAAAACTACCACAAACTTGGTGTCTTAAAACAAAAGAAATATATTTTCTCACAGTACCTGAAGCTAGAAGTCTGAAATCAAGATTGTGGGCAGGGCTGCTCTCTCTCCAGAGACTCTTGAGCAGACTCCATTTCTTTCCTCTTCCACCTTCTGGTGGTTGCTGGCTAAGGCCACATCATTCCAGTCTCAGCCTTCATCTTCATATCCCCTACTCTTCTGTGTGTCCCTGCTTCTGTCTGCACCTCTCTTACTAGGATACATGTAATTTGTTTAGATCTTGATAATAATCTAGTATAAACTCTTGTTAGGATTCTTTTAATCACCCCTTTTGTCATATTAGATAATATTCACTGATTCTAGGAAATAATTCTAGATGTATTAAGTGAATATACCTTTTCAGGGGCATTTTTCTGCCTACCACAGGCAGAAAAAACTAATCATCCAACAGCTGGAGCCCTACGACCTCTTTCATAGGAAAGATATGCTTATCAACATCTAGAGAATTAGCATCTCTTGAAGTACACATTTGAAACATTTTAGGAATCTTACTGTAGTATTGGGCCACTAAATAAGTCTCAACTGATTCCAAAGAACTGGTATCATGAAGACCATCATAATGAGTAAAATAAGGTTATGCTAGCTATCCTTTTCTTGAATTTTAGTTAAATGTTGACATTAATCTAAAGCTTTTATAGTGTTTATTCTTAAGTTGCAATAAATAGATCTAATGGTAATTTCACAAGCCATTTCTGAAACTACTCTTTTGTAGTATTTTATTGAAGTTTTGCGTTTACCTGATAATAGCATATTGTAACAATATAATATTTTATATAAGCCATTATCTCTCCATCTGTATTTAATACTTGTCCCCTCCCAACCATACATACAAGTCATACCTGACTTTTTTTTTTCATTTTCCTTTAATATAAAGCAAGATCTGCCTTGGGAAAAATATTAAAAGGGTCAATGTCATTCCTTAGGATCCCTGCAGTGAAGTCTGGAACATTTTTCCTCTCTGATGTGGTCCCCTCTCTTTGACTTCAAGTGGACTCTTGCCCTCCCTTTACCAAAACACGTTTAGAAGCCTCAGAGATATATTATTAGGGAAATATAAATGACTAACATCAATTCCAACCCAATAGTGAAGTGGTTATAAGAATGCGATCGGTATGAAATTACAGATGGATAGGAGAAATAAGTTCTGATATTCTATGACAATGTACGGTTAACAATATTGTATATTTCAAAATAACTAGAAGAGAGGATTTTGATTGTTCTCACCACAAAGGAATAAATGTTTGAAGTGATGGATAAGCTAATTACTGGATTAGCTCATTAAACAATGTATGCATGTATTGAAACATCACACTGTACCCCATAAGTATGTACAATTATTATGTATCAATTAAAAATTAAACAAAACAAATAATAGATTGGCCTTTTAAGTAAAGAATCCTCATTGAATCCCAGTTCAGCCATTTGCCTTTTGATGACTTTTGGCATGTTATTTAATTTTTCTGAGTATCTGTCTCTTCCCACTTCTTAGGTTGTTGGTAAGATTAATGAAATGACTTGGTAAAGAATGAATCAAAATTCCTAGTAAAAAGTACTCAGTCAATTTTAGCTATTAATGGCTAGTTTTATTGGGGATCAAAGACTTTAAAAACTATTACCATTCTGATTAAAAAAAAAAAAAACTTCAGACATCAATAGACAAAAGAATAGGAGAGACACCTTTGCAGGGAACACTTCTTCCTTTCCATCTCTAAAATCATAGCCTATGACATGTAGTTACTTATTTTCCTTTTCATTACATGTTTAATATGTACAATACACAGCAAATTATTTAACATCTGAAATAATATTATTATGGAATAGCATATGTATTATGTGATAACTTAGGAAGCTTTTGTTAAAATTAACAGAAAACTCAAGTTGGCTTAAAATAGCAGAGGGAATTTATTGTTTTACGTGTCAGAAACTCAGAGGTGCAGCAGAATATGATTACTTTGATTAGGGTTTCAGCTTAAAATCTGTGAGATATTCTCAACACTGCAGTCTTTCATATATACTGATTTGTCTTCAGGCTGGCTTCTTTTTTGATGGCAAGATGACTTTAATAACAACTGGGGTCATTGATACTGTGGAATTGAAGTCCTGAACTTCACTCTGAATGGACAGGTCATCTGTCTACTCCTGAATCACTGTGTCCAAGTGACTGCCATGACACTGATTGACTAGAGCTGAGCTTATATTCCTTTAGTGAATATTTGTTATGCCACATATGTGCTTTCCCAAACTCCGTTGTAACTATGGCTTTGACATAAACAACCTTGGCAAATCAGATACAACTGCTGAGCGTAATGGGGAAAAAAAAGAGATATAAACAGAGTTCATTCTGGCAAGGGTCACAGCAATGGCAATAGCCATAGCCAGTTACCAGAAATAGCAGAGGCAGCAGTTCTAGTGCCAACATCAGTAATGTACTGGTGTGACAGGCACTGCTCTCTGGATCCATTGATGGTGGCAGTCATGTCATCACAAGACTAGTTCTGTAGTATGATTTTGCTATTGTCCCCAACTGCATAGCCTGTGAGCCTACCTAGTTCTGGCATTCCTAGAGATTTTTAATAGGTCAGTATGTTATTTTTCATTTTATATTAGCCTAAATTCATTTTTGTTATTTGCAACTAAAAACCCTAACTTATACAACAACCATCCCTGATTCAGTGTCCGAGGAATGGCGTTACTTTAATTATTCTAGACCAGTCAGAGCCCATCCCTAGAACTGGGCACCTGATTAATCCCACCCAAAATACATGGCTGCTATTCAGTGAGAGAGAATAGGAAAGGACATTGGGATAGCCACCCTAAAAAAGAATATTAATTGTCTTTAATGTCAGCAAAACAGACTTAACTAATTTGTTCTTTATGTTTGTTTCTTATATCATTAAAGTGACACCAGTGACAATCTATCTGAAGCAGATGAAACTCTGATTATTATCGAGGCTATAAGAGAAGCTAGTTTACCAAAATGTCCTCCTGAAGATGTCCCACTTTTTGAAAAGATTATAGGAGATATTTTTCCTGGAGTGACAGTTTTAAAAGCAAATCAACTTGCCTTGGAGGTAAAAAGACCTTTGAAAATCATCATAAATTATTTAGATGTGGAATATCAATTAAGAAATTAAATGTCAAGTAAAAGTATTACAATTCTTCCTGAAATAGTCTATTTGTGTTATAATTTGGGAGATAAAAATACTTGGAGATATATATTTCCCTTGGGGAAGAAATACCTTTCAGTGCATCATGGCCTAAAGGAAAAAACAAACTGTGTACCTTTGGGCAAGGAAGGCCATTACCTGTTTTGTCTCAATTTTCTCGTCTTTCAGATGATAATAGTGTCTGTTCTTCCCACTTTGAAGGGGAGCTTTGATAATAAAATTAGGTCAAAGTTATGAAAAAGACTTAAAATGTAAATACTTTGTAATCATCAAAATTAAATATTATAATTGTAGAGTTCGTTATTGTTTCTCTTACAATATACAGCCTCAGAATCATTGCCTTAGTCTAGGTAGGATCCCGGTGTCTCTTACTAATACTATTGTATAGTCTCCTAACACTCCCTGCACTCCAGTATGTTTTGATATGGGCACCAGAGTTGCTTTCCTAAAAATCTATGTTTGATCTATACTGTTCCCTCTCAAGGCAAGTGCTTTATAGCACACTGTTTGGTCTTCCCCACACTTCCACTCCCATTATGTTGATGCTGTGTAGAATTTTAGTTCCTGATTGCTTTGGAAATATTTTCTCCCTCTTTCTTTTTCCTTGGACTTAACTGTTATATACAATACACAATTCTCATTCTCTCTCCCTCTCCCTCTCCCTTTCAGAAAATAGTAAACTAACAACGTATTTTATCAAACTTACTTTTTATATGTCTTATAGACTTCTCTTCAATTTATTCCTCCTTTTGAGTACTTCTTTGAGAATGTTTTCAAATTAGGTTTTTGTGTAGCAAACCTTCTAAGAACTTCAATACCTGAGGCTGTATTTGGTATGCTCTCATATTTGAATGGCAATTTGTTTATAAAATTGCAAGTTTAAAATTCTTAGCCTTTAATACATTAAAATATTTAATGCCTTAAAAATACTATTCCATTTTCCTCTTGCCCTGAGGTCGCTTTTGAAAAGGTCACTATCACTTTGATATTTGTTCCTTTGTGGTTTATCTGCTTTTTCTCTCTAGATGCTTTTAAAATGTTCACTTTGTCTTTGATATTCATAATCTCACTATAAATTCTCTAATTATGAGCTTTGGTTCTCTATTAGCCCTCGTAATATGTAGTCTTTTATTTTAAGTCCTCTAAATTAACAGAAGCTTTATACTGTGAGATCATTTGTTCCACATCATTGAAAGAGTTGAATTGAACTTTTCTGGATCAACAATTTGTAGGTACAAACTCTATTCTAACTGAGCTTAACTGTTTTCTTAATACTTCAGGTATTTTGGCTTTTACAGATCATCTTTGTTTCTAGGCATATGAAATTTGATATTTTTTTCCTGAGGTTTCTAGGAGAAGTACAGGTGGATATTTGTCTCTAAACAAACTATTGCCAAAATTTTGAAGATTTTTATTTACATTTATAGTTTGAGGGTTTTTACTTTGATTAAAAAAAAAAGAAGGAAAATGACGATTGACAAGTTTTGCTTTCTCTGTCTTACGTACACATCTTTCTATCTCTCCCAGGCAGGGCTTACAAACTCTTCACTCTCCTTTACCATAGTTATAAATTTGGGGTGCCTCTTGTGTTACCGTTAGCATTTTTCAAGTCACAGTTTAAAAAGTAGCATTACCATTCTAATAGCATTTCTACATACACATTAATGGTTTTACTTTTGAGCCTCATTATATATTCATCTTCTAATCAGTTTTACAAGTCAATGTGTAGTAGTCTGAGCTTATGGAACAGTTTTCTATACACGTATATCAGTTTTTCAGCTACTTCCCCCATTTGTATAATTTTTACATTAATATGTAAGCTGTCAACTGTTTAGTAAATTGTTACTAAATTATAATATATGGTTCATAGAAATGTTATATGAAGATCATAATTTAAAGTTATGATTTTAATATTAAATTTGGAGTAATTCAGTATTTTATTTAATGTTGTATTTTTGATGGCTTACACAAAGACTAGCCATGTGTGACTCCACAAAGAAATATATCTTAATAAAGACATACTCTGAAAGTGTGCTATTAACACTATTTGTTCATTTAAGATATAAGAATCTGAATCATATATATTAGACAACTGTGCTCTATCCAACTTATTCACATAACTATCTCTAACAGTATCCAAAGTATGTGGGAGTAATTATCTCAGAGTGACCAAAAGATTAACTGAGAATTCCTGAAATTATGTCATCAAATAAGAACTACATTACTTTGCCACCCAGTTGACTCCAAGGAGCATTATATACAGTTGTGAATACTTTACAGTAGGGTTATGATTTTATTTCACATCTTCCAAAGTAAGAAATTTGTGAAAATCCTTAGCTAGGCAGGATGATATGTCTAAATATCTCTTTTTTTATTATCCTAATTCTGCTAATCTGTGTATCCAAGGCTATTCTTATTCTACACCTGTGTGACTTCTTGCTTATATCCAAGCAGGTCTAGAGACTTGTACTATTAACTGCATAGAATTTATAGCCTCTACATCTCAAACTGCTTGAAGTTCAGGCCTTAAGTAGGCAGTCTCATCAACTCCATTTAAATAAGAGTTTGCTCTTTAAAAAATCCTTTCATCTGGTTGTCTGCCTTCTGTTAGTCTTGCCACATGAGCTGCTTTTTTCTCCATGGGACAGTCCTGCTGAGTATCTCCTTCAGCTGCTTTGTTCTATCTCATTGTAGGGATGCAAGGAATGAAAAGTGGAATAGGAGAGATCAGTGAGAAAGAAAGGGTAAATCCCACTTTTTTTCTGTAGACATAGTTACCAATTATATCCACACTGAAAAATCCCTCCTTTACCTTTATAAACTATTAAGTATTTTTCCAAGCTGAAGCCACTTCTTGGAATGTTTTATTGTATAACCACATCATGTCTTCAATCTTGTAAATTTTATTTACTGTTTTAAAATATGCATAACATTGAAACATTAATATAATCTTTATAAAATTGAAAGCTAGTAAATAAACAGTTTCTAAAGTATGAGTTATTAATCCAGCAGAAGGTCCATGAATCTACCTGGGGTCTATGAACGTAAAATTTTGTGTGTATTGTATTTTTCCAGAGAGAGTAATGATAGTTTTCTTTATTTTCAGAGATAGAGATTGGTGAATTAAAAAATTAAGAACTACTATCTTAAAGAGCTGTAATTGGTACCTAATTAAGAGATATTTAGGGGAATTAAAATTTAAGGATTCAATTTGAAATGTATTTTAAATTGTTGTATTTATTTCCTTTTAGAAAGTAATAGATTTTGCAACGCAACAATTAGGCTTACAAAATTTGCCGTCTCAGAAAGAAAAGATCATACAGTTTCATAATCAACTTGAAGTAAGTATAGAATGGCATATTAGCAATTCATTGCCTTGGTTTCATAGGTAAGATCAAGGAGAAAAACATAATAAAAGAGAGCTGTTACAGATATAATATTCTTCAAAGTAAGTGATTTATTAATTAGCTATTTCCCTAGACTTTATTATTTAACTCCTCACATTAACTCTCAACAAATTAATCTTTTCACCCTCATCCCTTTAATACATACTTGTAAAAACCCTGCAAATGTGGTGTAAAGTATCCTGCATTCCATTGCTATACCTTCTTTGAATTTTCTGTTCTCGATAGATGAACGATTTGGAAAAACACCAGAATGCATATTTCCCTGAATGCTAGTAAGATTGTACTATCTTTTTTAATGTTTATTAGCCATTTCAGTTTTGTATGAATTGCCAGATTATGTAATGTGCTCATTTTGTAATTAGGTTATTTGTCTTTTTCTTAGTAAATATGTAGATTTTTTCATTATGTATTTTATATCATAATTCTTTATTGGTTATGTGCATTGCAAATGATCTGAATGCCTTCTAGGTCCAAGGTGATGTTTTCTTAAGCACTGGATATTTTTAGGAGGGATGCAAGTTAATGCATGGCTCCTACATAAGAAATGCAATCCTAAGGGTGCACACGGTACCTTCAGAAGGAAAGTGGTTTTTTTACAGGAGATGGATTCCCTAAGTGGAATCTACATCAGTTCAAGGTGGAAAGGTGGTACAGGTTGATAGTGCCTCCAACATGGGTTCTCATTTCGGTTCTAATAATTAAGTCCAGTTCTTGTTTTTGGAGTGGCTGCTTGTGGACACTCAGTCCAACCTGATCTGTTTGTTGTCAGCCAGATGGCATTTGCCGGTTCCAAGGAATGGCTGAGTAACGGAAATAGGGGTGGGAAATACACCCAAGACATCTAGGGTTTTGACAAGTATTTTGCATGGGAGATGCTGTAGCTGACTGAGCCCACCCCTCCTGTTACTGATAGACTTTTCAGTAAGGTTCAGGGGAATAATGATTAAATCATGGTCATGTCCAACTGGCAGGTGGTGGCAGTCCCAAAAGTCAGTTACATTAAAGCTGTCTTCATTAGTTGATCATAGCAACATCAGAGCATTTTTCTTTTGGAGGAAGGTTGGAGGGACAGTTATGAAAGACAAATATTTTCAATGTCCTCCCCCCATACCTCCTAGGGTCTGAGATATTTCCTCCTCGAGTGTCTGGGTTTTGCCTTCCCTATATTGCCACAAAATTAGTGTGTCTCATTTTAGTAGTTTTGACCATAGTTATTTTTCACAACTTTTATCCTGAAGGGCTAGATACATGATGGATACAAGAGTATTTTTATAAAACTTACAGAGAACCATTATATCCTCCACTTTGGCCTGCTTGGGCCATTGTAGAAGAACTCAGCTGACAGTGTAATCAATAAAAATGTCCTTATCCTTATGACCTAAGACCACATCGATCTAAAAGAATCCAGGTAGTTTAACCAGAATTAAATTTGAATCTCCTAGGCCCCATCTTGGTCGGCCTTCCACATGGAATGTATACCAACCAGGGTAGCTTGGGGTTGTCACTGAGGGAAAGAAATAGGCAGCACGCTTTAGAATGGTCAGGGCTAAATTCCATATTTTCAAAATGAGTCTGTGTAATCTCCCATGTTTTTCATACTGACCATTACCCAGAAAGCAGATGAAAGGAAATGATCCCTTTTTGGGGACAATCACATTCAGTGACCAGAATTCCTTGGTAAGGCATGTGGGCAAAGAGAAGGTGAGGGAGATATAATAGGGACAGGAAGCTTTTTGAGTTGATTTTTGAGGAGGCTCTTCCAGTGCTAAATAATATCAGATGCCTTTGGATCATAGGGAGTGTGAAAGGTCCGTCAAATACCTGATCATCTGCTAATAACAATTAGTGACTTTTGCGATAAAAGGTACATGATTGTCAGATTGACAATGGTCCAGAAATTCAAACATATAATACAAAAAGAGGTAATGGTATGACTGGAGTCAGCTGAAATAGTGTCAGCATCAGTAAGGCATCGCCAGTAGACCTAAGAGAGGGGATCAAAGATCTGACATAGCCAGTCTGCCAGGCTGTGCAGGTTGTGCACTGTTTGATGTGGCTTCCTTACTGTGAGACAACTGCATCAACTTTTGGCAGGAGTCATAAATCTAGTATTTAGTAGTAGCTTCTATATTAGAAACATACAGTCCTTTACTTTGTGCCAATCCATAATGGTGAACATGTTGTAATGTTCAGGACAATGTCATATCAATATAGTGATTATAGCCCTATGGGCAGAACAGGATCAATCAGCAGCTTGATTCTGGACAATAATCTCATCACATAATGGATCCCCCACCATGAGCCCATGAGTAACTCGGATAGTTTGGTCAGCAGCCATCATTTGTTTCCACAATTCATAGCCCCAAAGGGGTGTACTGTTAATCTTCTAGTCTATACAAGTGGCAGACCAAATAGCTAGGCCATTGGCAAAGCCCAAGAGTCAGAGTTTTGTCCACTGAGCAGAGTGGACAAGTCTGCTTTTGATTCTTCATAGCTGAAGCTGAACAGTGACAGCTGTCAGATTTCAGCTTAGCTAACCATCAGTAAAACAAACCCAGGCATTTATTGTAGTCTTTGTGAATCAAGAGCTCCATTGAGCCAGCAGCTTTGTTTCAGGAGGTTAAGTGGGGAATAGAGTTTATCCCAGAGGGTTAGCTGCCACTCTTTTATAACTCACTAGGGCCAAGCTAGCTGCATTCTTGAATATGTGATTTCCATTTGACAAGCAAGGCTTTTTGGAACTTTCTCACTTTGCCAGATGTGTAGGGTCTGGATCTGTGAGATCAGGGCCTCTGTCATGACACAGAAATTGTAAAGTAAGTGAAAAGATATTTTAGCCTTATCTATATTTGAATTTTAATGTGCTTATATGATACTCACATTGTTAAAAAATAATTTCTTTAATGCTATTACAACAGGAGAGATGGTACAACAGGAGAGAGGGTGAGCGTCCAGGTGTCTTAGTCAGCTCAGGCTGCTATAACAAAATATCATAGACTGGGTGGCTTAAACAACAGACATTTATTTCTCACAGTTCTAGAAGCTAGGAAACCCAAGATCAAGATACTGACAGATTTTGTTCTTGGTGAGCCCCCTCCTCCTGGCTTACAGACAGCCACCTTCTTGCTGGGTCCTCACATGGCACAGAGATGGGGGGGTATGGGGGAGGACACATGAACTCTGGTTTTTCTTCCTCTTCTTTATAAGGAAACTAATCCCATCATGGAAAACTTACCCTCGACTCATCCAAACCTACCTTCCAAAGTCCCCACCTCCTAATATTATCACATTGGAGGGTCAGGGCGTCAACATGTGCATCTCAGAGAGACACAAACATTCAGTCCACAACACCAAAGTAAGGCAATTGTGGTTGGGATGGAGAGAAGACGGAAACGAGCAAAAGTTTTGTAAGAGATGAAGAAATGAAAAAAAGGCAAATATTCCATGTTGGACCAATAGTACATTGCTGTTTTATTTAACTAGATTAGGGAAATAAGAAAAGCTACAAGTGTGAAAGAAGATATAGGTTAGATTTTGTTGAGTTTGAGAATCATATGAGACATTCAGATAGAAACATTTGGTAGACCATTTGAAATTTCATTCTGGCACTTAGAACTAAAGACTGGAGAAAATGTATACATTAGGGAGTCATTAGAATACAGGTCATACTTAAAGGTCAAATGGATAAGATTGGATATGGACTATGCAGAAGAGAGAAGAGGACAAGAATGAATTAGGGAAGTCACATGGAAAGGAATATCAGAGCTCAGGTAAAAGAGAAAAAATAGCGAAGGAGGAAAACACTGATAAATTATATTACAGAACCCAGTAGTAGAGAAACATACAAGAAGAAAGGAGAAGTAGAAAGTGAGATAAACTTTTAAATAGCAAAAACTGAAATATATTCTTTGAATTTTAAAATTAGGCAATTTCAAACAAAAGCCAGATTACAATGAAATGAATAATAAATTGAAGGAAGAGATAGGAAGGAAGAGATATCAATGGATATAGGCAGAGATATATTTGTAACTAAACTTTTAAAATTGTTTCTGAATGAATAAATCTGTAAGTTTTATTTCAGGCTTATGTTGGTGTGATGTTAGTGGGTCCAACAGGTGGAGGAAAAACAACAGTCAGAAGAATTTTAGAAAAAGCATTAGTACTGTTACCAATTGTAGACTTCTTATCATTTGCAGAAAGGGAATCTACTCCAGAGGTAAATGTTCTACTAAATAAATGTTTATTCATTTGTTCATATTTTATTTTATACTTCGGTTAACATTTTATGTTCTCTTCACATAGGTATTTTCATTATTTATTAAATTTATTGCTAGGAATTTTGTACTTAGGAATCATTGTAGTGACTGGGATTCTTTCTTTCATTTAAATCTCAAGCTGGTAATTGCTAGTAAAAATAAAACTATTAAATTATATATATTTTTTGTTTTTGTTTTTACATTCTTTTATTTATTTATTTAATAATACTTGTCTCCTTTAGTTTTTTTTTTTATTTTGGCATATTATGGGGGTACAAATTTTAAGGTTTCAATAAATGCCCATTCCCCCCGCCCCACAAGTCTGAGTTTCCAGCATGACCATCCCCCAGATGGTGCCCATCTCACTCTTATGTATGTATATACCCGCCCCCCTCCCCCCTCCCACCTGCCCAATACCCTATTACTGTAGTACCTATGTGTCCACTTAGGTGCTACTCAGTTAATACCAGTTTGCTGGAGAATATATCTGGTGCTTGTTTTTCCATTCTTGGGATACTTCACTTAGTAGTATGGATTCCAGCTCTAACCAGGAAAATATAAGATGTGCTATATCACCATTGTTTCTTAGAGCTGAATAGTACTCCATGGTATACATATACCACATTTTATTAATCCATTCTTGGATGGATGGGCACTTGGGCTGTTTCCACAGCCTTGCAATTATGAATTGTGCTGCTATAAACATTCGAGTGCAGGTGTCTTTTTTGTAGAGTGTCACTGGATCATTTGGGTAGATGCCCAGCAATGGGATTGCTGGATCAAATGGTAGATTCACTTGTATCGCTTTAAGGTATCTCCATATTGCTTTCCACAGAGGTTGAACTAGTTTGCAGTCCCACCAGCAGTGTAGGAGTGTTCCTCTCTCTCTGCATCCACATCAACATTTATTGTTTGGGGACTTTTTGATAACGGCCATTCTTACTGGAGTTAAGTGATATCTCATTGTGGTTTTGATTTGCATTTCTCTGATGATTAGAGATGTTGAGCATTTTTTCATATGTTTGTTGGCCATTATTCTGTCTTCTTTTGAGAAGTTTCTGTTCATGTCCTTTGCCCATTTTTTGATAGGGTTATTTGATTTTTTTCTTGCTGATTTTCCTGAGTTCTGAATAGATTCTAGTTGTCAGCCCTTGTGAATTCTGACCTAAAGTTTAAAAGCGTATGCTACTGTCTCTCACCTCTACACTCAACCCTGGTTCCCGACACATTGCATCTCAGTTCACATATTGTGTTCCTGGATTAGGCACAATAGGATTTTTTCCCTTTTTGTGGGGTGGGGGCAGGTACTGTCAATAGTATTTAGCATTTTTTTAAAAATTACTTGTATATTATAGCTACTTTTAATAAGTTGATTTTTAGTGTTTCTTGAAAATTGCAACCATTATTATCTTTCTTTGCTATGAAAGACTTCTTTTAAACCCCTTTGGTAATAACAATGCAAAAAACTAAATAATTGTACTGTACTTATTGTCTTTAAAAAACACACTGGATTTTTCCCAGACTTCAGGAAGAAAAGGAAAAGTAGATATTTATGTTTTAAATCCAAAGTGTATCACTCTTGGTGAACTATATGGACAACTGGATCCTAATACTATGGAATGGACTGATGGATTATTATCAGCAATAATTCGAAGTTATGTCTATTGTAACACTGCAAGGTGCTCAAGAAAAGAAATTGATCTCGCACTAAAGTCAAGAATCTCAGATTTATCGAATGTAAGTTTAGTGTTGAATGAGTATTTTTATTTGACTAATATGTATTATTTAATTATTTAATTGCTTATCCAAAGATTGGTATTAAAACCTATTAAAGTCAATTTTAAAAATATTATGAACAGTTTTTAGAAAGAAAAAAATTATAATTTACTTAAAAATATGCCATTGAGTTTTAAAATAGTCAGTGAATGATAGAACGAAGTTAAAGATATTTGCTTTTAAAGGAACACAAAGTGAATTGAGTCTACATGGAGAATGATCTAGTGATTCCAACACCAACGAAATATTTAAAAGTTAAAAAAAAACTTCAGTTGGAAAGTGAATAAAGTATGTGACATAAAATTTGTCAAGGAATAAATATGAACAACAAAATAATTCTGTGATCCTTTACCAGTGCTGCTCCACCCCATTCACCTGTGGCTGTCACCAGGCTGCTGTGGCAGGATGGGCCCATGTCGCGCCCGCCTCGCCAGCAAGGAAGACGCGGCAACTGGAGTTCTTCTGACCGTGCTTTAATGGGGTTCCCTTTAAACTTACATGATGCGGAAGACCCTGAGCACAAGCTCTCACACACTTATATACTCTAAGGAAGGAGGGAAGTGATGAGGATAGGTTAAAAGCGCGCGAGGGTTATTACTGATAGGCCAAGCTAAGATCCTTCATATGCATACTTGATGAGACAGGAAAAGCCCCTACACCTGCGCGGTTCACCCTGTTTATCAGTCCTGTAGTATCGGCGTGACCAGGAAGCCAGCGCCATCTTGCAATGGCGTTAACACCGCGCCCCACAGGCCCATGGTGCAATGCATGCATGTGACGTGGGGCTGGCCTGCTGGACTGGGCATGTGCATGGGATGGAGGAGGTCTATTGCACACAGTGCACACATATGGGCCTAGGCAGCCAAGGTGTGAAGTGCATGGGCAAGGTCAGGCATGCATGAGGTATAGCACATGCAGAGGGCATAGTAAGCCCATGGGCAGAGCAGGTCTGCAAGACGGAAGGGTCTCTGGTGCAGAGTGGGCCTGCAGCACATGTGTGGGGCAGAGTGGGCCCTGGTACTGAGGGGGCCCATGGGGCAGGATGCCTGTGCAGGATGGAGCAGGTCTGCAGGATGCAGCATGCACACATGCAGGCCAGTGTAACCGCAGTGCTGGGTATGTGGGTGAGCACCAAGGGCTATGGGCATATGCTCCACCTGGGCCCTGCAGGATGTGCAGTTGAATAGGATTGCCCAGGCCACATCAGCAGGTGCCCACTGTGGTCTTCTGGTCTTCCCTGGCCCCCCAGTGGCATAGTGCCAGCAGCAGGAGTGCAGATCACTAGCCCACAGGGCATGCATGAGCACTGGGACTCCCCATTCCCTCCCCATCTGCCAGAGGTAATGGGGAGGCAGCAGTCACAGATCTGACCTCTGAGTAGAAGTAGCATTCAGGGGTTGGTATATCACAATGGCATCAGCCACAACACCCAGGGCTAGCAAGCCAGGCATGCCTTCTTTCCAGGGCAGTGCAGCTGCACAGCCTCCAGTCAGGTCTCTGTATCGGTAGGAAGGCCTACTCCAGAGGAGGGGAATATTGCCTCTTGCGTTGCAATATTCTCAGGGGAAGCATGGAGGCTGGGATTCTCTTCTTTGTCCCTTCCCCATGTGTGGGCATCTTCCCTAATACTTCTGGTCCTGTTGAGCAGGTCATCCCACTTCTCTCCTTCACTTCATGATTCCCCGTGCTCTCACCTAGACAATCGATCCAAAAGTGGGTATCTATTCACCACTTTGGATCCTTTCCACGAGAGTAGTGTTGTGATAAAATTCTTTGTACTAATGATTGCCAGTTAGAAACAGAATTAGGAAAAATTATGTCAAAAGTGGTAAGAATCTATAAAATGCATTGGAATAAATGTAAAAGAAAGGAACTTGTCCTACGGGAGATGGGGCAAGGAAACATATACAATTGAGAAAACTTGAATAAATTAAGGATACACACCATATTCCTATGTAGAAAGAATTCTATCATAAAAATGCCAATCTCTATCAAATTAATATATGCATATAATATCATTTCAATGAAAATCCTACTCATTTTTTTAATTGAAAAATAAAAATTTATATGTTTACAATGTACAGCTTGATGTTTTGATATATGTATATACAATGGAATGATTGCTATTAATATAATCAAGCTAATTAACATATCAATTACCTTACATAGTTGTCTTTTTTTTTTTTATGTCTAGCACATTTTATTGTTTTTTTAAATAAGGTGTATATCTATATACATATCTATTTGACATATACATTTACAATTTCTAGAATATTTTCACCAATTTCATAACTGGTTATTTATTTGGGGGGAGGAGTGGAAACAAGATGATGAAAGACTTGCTTTCTCTATTTATACAATCTCTTTAATGTTTAAATACAAAGACTATCTCCTTCCAAACTTGTTTTCTTTCCATTGCCCCATATTTGCAAAATGCTTTGTAAAGCACAAAGAGTGAAATTGCCATTGTTTGAAATTTTTCCTGTATTGATCTGATGAGTTTTGCCATGACCAGGTAGTTCTTTTTCGGTTAGCAAAGTTCTACTAAGTCACTTCTCATTGCCCTTCTTTGCTGTTTGTGCCAGTCATTTGCCTGTTTCACTCAGATCTATTCCCGGGTTTTCCCTTCTCTCTTTTTTTTCCCTCTCTTTTCTGTTTTCTGTCTCAAAAGTCTGACTCTGCCAACTACACTTCCCAGGAGGCTCTGTCCACTGGCCTCCAGTTAGAGATTGGAAGGAGGAAGGAGAGGGAGGTCAGGGCATTTCTCCCTTCTCTCTGCTTTGGCATCTTTGGTGGACAGTGGCTCTTTCTCTCTGGGTTCCCCTCCCTCCAAGTTCCAGCTCCCTCCTCCTGCCCCAGCAGCTTTGCTCCGGAGCTTTCTCTGCTCTCCTTGCCTCTCCCTGCGAATCTTTTTTTTTTTTTTTATTTTGGCATATTATGGGGGTACAGATTTTAAGGTTTCAATAAATGCCCATATCCCCCCTCCCCCCAAAAGTCTGAGTCTCCATCATGACCATCCCCCAGATGGTGCCCATCTCACTCATTATGTATGTATATACCCGCCCCCTCCCCCCTCCCACCTGCCAATACCCTATTACTGTAGTACCTATGTGTCCACTTAGGTGCTACTCAGTTAATACCAGTTTGCTGGAGAATATATCTGGTGCTTGTTTTTCCTTCTTGGATACTTCACTTAGTAGTATGGATTCCAGCTCTAACAGAAAATATAAGATGTGCTATATCACATTGTTTCTTAGAGCTGAAAGTACTCCATGGTATACATATACCACATTTTATTAATCCATTCTTGGATGGATGGGCACTTGGGCTTTTCCACAGCTCTGCAATTATGAATTGTGCTGCTATAAACATTCGAGTGCAGGTGTCTTTTTGTAGAGTGTCACTGTCATTTGGTAGATGCCAGCAATGGGATTGCTGGATCAAATGGTAGATTCACTTGTATCGCTTTAAGGTATCTCCATATTGCTTTCCACAGAGGTTAACTATTTGCAGTCCCACCAGCAGTGTAGGAGTGTTCTCTCTCTCCGCAACCACGCCAGCATTTATTGTTTGGAGATTTTTTGATAAAGGCCATTCTCACTGGGGTTAAGTGATATCTCATTGTGGTTTGTTTGCATTTCCTGATGATTAGAGATGTTGAGCATTTTTTCATATGTTTGTTGGCCATTCTTCTGTCTTCTTTAGAAAAATTTCTGTTCAAGTCCTTTGCCCACTTTTTAATGGGGTTTATTTGATTTTTTCTCCTAATTTTCGTGAGTTCTAAGTATTCTAGTTATCAGTCCCTTATCGGATGCATAGGATGCAAAAATTTCTCCCATTCTGTAGTTGTCTGTTTACTTTCATGACTATTTCTTTGGCTGTGCAGAAGTTTGTAGTTTGATCATGTCCCATTTATTTATTTTTGTGCTGCTGTGATTGCCTTTGGGGACTTCTTCATAAACTCTTTGCCCAGGCCGATGTCTAGGAGAGTGTTTCCAACTTTTTCCTCTAGAGTTCTAATAGTTTCATATCTTAGGTTTAAGTCTGTTATCCAGCGTGAGTTGGTTTTTGTGAGAGGTGAAAGGTGTGGGTCCTGTTTTAGCCTTCTACAGGTGGCTATCCAGTTTTCCCAGCACCATTTATTGACATAGTTGTCTTTTTTATAGTGAGAATATTTAAGATAGGCTCTGTGCAATTTTCAAATATATTTACTATAGTACATTATTAACTATAGTCATTATGCTGTACATTAGATCTCTAGAACTTACTCATACTAACTGAAACTTGGTATTCTTTACACAACATCCCTCATTTCCTCCCACCGCACCTCCAAGCCCCTGGTGGAAACCACTGTTCTACACTCTGCTTAATGAATTCAACTTTTATATTTTCCACTTGTAAGTGAGATTATATAGTTTTTGTCGTTCTGTGCCTGGCTTTTTCTTTTAGCATAATATAATCCAGGTTCATCCATGTTGCCATAAATGTCAGGATTTCCTTCTTTTTTTTTTTTAAGTATTCTATTGTGTGTGTGTGCACACCACATTTCTTTATACATTCATCCATTGGTGGACAGGACATTTAGGTTGATTTCATATCTTGACTATTGTGACTAATGCTGAAATGAAAATGGGAGTACAGATATCTCCTCAACATGATTTTATTCCCTTTGGATACATACCTAGTTAATGGCATTGCTGGAGCGTATAGAAGTTCTATTTTTATTGTTTTGAGGAATCTCCATACTGTTTTTCATAAGATCTGTACTAATTTACATTCCCATGGACAGTATACAAGGCTTTTCTGTTTTCCTTCTTCCTCAGCAACACTCACTGTCTTTTGTGTTTTTTATAGTATCCATCCTAACAGGTGCGAGATGATATCCCATTGCAGTTTCAATTTGCATTTTCCTAATGAGCATTTTTTTTTCATTTACCTATTGGCGATTTGTATGTATTCTGTGAGAAATATCTATTCAAGTTCTTTGTCCATTTTTTAAATGAGTTATTTATTTTCTTGCTACCAAGTTGTTCCTTATAAATTTTGGATACTAACCCCTTATTAGATATGTGGTTTGAAAATATTTTCTCCCATTCCATAATCTCTTCACTGTTGTTTCTTTTGCTATGCTGAAGCTTTTGAATTTGGTGCAATCCTATTTGTCTGTGTTTGCTTTTGTTGACTGTGCTTTATATCCAAAAAATCAGCCCAGACCAATACCATGGAGCTTTTCTCCTATGTTTTCTTCTAATAGTTTTAGAGTTTCAGGTGTTATGTTTAGGGTCTTAGGTTTATGTTTAGGTCTTTAGTCCACTTTGAGTAGAGTTGAGTTTTGTATATGGTTGTTAGATTAATCCAATTTAATTTTTCTGCATGTGGATATCGAATTTTCCTGGCATTATTTATTGAAGCAGCTGTCTTTTCTGCGTTGTGTGTTCTCAGCAGCTCTGTTGAATATCAGCTGACTGTAAATGTATAGGGTTGTTTTTTTCTTTCTAATTGGATAAAATGATTTTAATATTACACCTGTAAGTGTAAATGTTTCAAGAGTTCAAGAAAATGTGGGCAGAAAATCATAGTACTTTGAAGTTCTAAAATGTTCTAAATAAATTTTAGAACAAATCCAAACTGTAAGCAAACCAGCAAGGCAGTGACACAGAAATGGAACCAAATGGAATCCAGAAGCATAATCAAACATATAAAGGAACTTGATATACAACTAAAGTCATATTTCTAATTATTGCGGAAAAATTCCCATATTTAATCCTTTGTAAAATTTGCTGTTTTCATATTAAAAACATAGAAAGATCCCTAGCCCACTCTTTCCACAGAAATAAAATTCCAGATGAATTAACAATCAAAAAGTAAACATAAAATTATAAAAAACTATTGTATTGTATAATGATATTTAGGTACATACTTTCAGAATTAGGAAGTTCTGACACCCAGAAATCATAAAATAAATGATAAAAGGATTTAACTATAAACATTAATGTGAAAATATTTTTGCAATAGCTACCACTATGCTAAAGCAAATGACAGTCTAGAAGAAAATAATTATAACACATTTAGGCAATGAGTTATAATACTATCCCCAATATAAAAAAAGAGTTTCAAAAATGAATAAGAAACTCAACTAAATAAGGAAATAAGGAAAGGCTAGGAATAGGAATCTGATAGAACAAATACAAATTACCATTAAATATATGAAAAGATGCTTAGCCTAGCTATTAGTCAAATAAATACAAGTTGTAAAAATGATAGGCACAATTTTTTTCCTCATCAGATTTCAAAACTTAAGAATATTTGTGGTGACCGCATTCAGTGTTAACAAGGATATGTAAAAACATGCATTGTTATGCCTTGTTGGTGGGAATGTTATTGCCACAAACTTTTGAAAAGAAATATAATAGAATTTATTAAAAACTAAAATAATTATAACCTTCAACCCCCAATCTTACGTTTAAAAAAACAATCTAACTAGAGAAAGAGAATCCAAGGATGATAATTGCAGACTTTTGTAATAGGAATAATAATTGGAAATAGCCTGGGACTTGCATACCTTCCTTGGGAATTAGCAGCAACTGGTTACTGTTTGTTGTATTGCTAGGGGCTGGTTGAAACCTGAGCATCATTACTTGGTCTTTGTCTTCAGAACCCACATTGTGCCCCCAGCACAGCTTTAGAGTTTGGTTTTCTCCCCTACTACTCTTGGTGGTTAAGAAAACCATGCCATTCAGCTGATTACAAATTACTCAGCGTTTTGGGGGAAATGAATAATTAAGCCCCCTCCTCAAGGTAATCAAGAGCTAAATGTTGTGAAAACACCTGTATTAGAAACACCTGGGGTGTATATTAAAAATGGAAATTTCTGGGCTTCATCCTAAACCTATTCAATGAAAATCTCCAAGGATGAAGTGTCAGAATCTGCAATTTAACAAACTACAGGTAATTCTAAAGTTTGAGAACTTATTATGAAGGAATGTCTAGGAAAAATATGCACCAAAATGTCAGTAGTGGTTGTCTATAGGTAGTGGAAATTCAGAGAACTTTTGATTTCTTCTTTATGCTTTTCTGTATTATTTGGCTATTAAACAGCATGCATATACTATCTTTGTAGGCAGAAAAAGGAAACTAAAATAAAATGGTTTTCCAAAAGGGAGTAAGATATAGTCACAAGTCACATTATACTATGCTGGTTATGTGTTGAGTTTTTCAGCTACAGAACCTTTTGCCTTTTATAATTTTTGCCACTCGAGAAAGGATATTGGCTGGGCACAGTGTAAACCTAGCACTCTGGGAGGCCAAGGCAGAAGGATTGCTTGAGGTCAGGAGTTTGAAACCAGCCCAAGCAAGAGTGAGACCCCATCTCTACAAAAATCAGAAAAATTAGCTGGATGTCATGGCACGGGCTTGTAGTCTCAGCTACTCTGGAGGCTTGGGCAGGAGAATCAGTTGAGGCCAGGAGTCTGAGGTTGCAGTGAGCTATGATGATGCCACTGCACTCTAGCCTGGGTGACAGAATGAGACTCTGCCTTAAAAATGTATATATATTGATGTATAGTCCATTGGAATTGGAATGTGTCATTGAATAAAAATTTAAATATTATTGATTATGTATTTTAGGTTTTCAAATTTGATTCCTCTGATACAGCAGATATTGATAATGTTTTTGAGGAGATACAGAGAGATGTTAAAATTCCAGAAAGTAAGTATTATTAAACAATGATCAATTAATATAGAAGACAAACTTTGAAACAATATTAGCTATATTTATATCTTTAAATACATTTTGATTAAAGATATTTTGTTCTTGTATAATTTATTTTTTTCCTCTAGCACTTACTTAAAATTTATAAAGTATCCCTCCCAAAAAAGAATTTGTATAGGATTATCACATATTATAATATATATATATAACTATGCTATAGAAATACTAGGGCTTAAATAGCCCTTCAGTTTATAAATGACTATTAGTCTCCCACAAGAACAAGTAGATATTAAAGGTGGAAATAAATAATGATGTGAGAAGCATCAGTGGCAACCTACAGTTTGCCACTGGTGTCCCTCTGAAATGGAACTCCATACAATCTGTATGTTCCTGGGTGAGGTCATACTACCCAAGCAGATTCATCTAAAATGGACTGCACACCCATAATATTCCAGATACTTTACTATGTGGCAGGGGACAGAATGGAGCTGACAAGTCTATTAGAGGAACCCTGACCATTGCTTTCCCTACTCCAGGTTGAACCTTATATCAATACATCCCCCCGTAGTAGTACATTTATGATCCAGACTTTGAAAGAGGCTTCTGCTGCTGCTGCTGCTGCTGCTGCTGCTGCTGCTGCTGCTGCTTCCTTGATTTTTGTATGTCATGTTTGGGAGAGTACAGTGATTGAGCATAATGTTTCCTTCATGGGGCTTTATGACAGTCACTAGGGCAGGTATTTCAGCCAGTCAGAGCCCATCTTGGCTATATGGGTCCCAACTCTACTCTTTGATTCTTCTGGTATACTTAAATTTCTTTTAGGTGGTAAACTATAAACTATTTTCTTTCTGCATAGTGACCTATTCACCTCTCGTATCCTGACCAACATATTTTTTTTCTAAAACTATGGAGCAAAGCTGTAGGGATAGAGTATGTGCTGTGGTCTGAATGTTTGTATCCCTGCAAATTCATATGTTGAATTGTTAACACTCAAGATGATGATATCAAGAGATGGGGGGGTCCTTAGGGAAGTGATTGGATCATGAGGGTTCTTCCCTCATGAATGATATTAGTTCCATTATAAAAGACACCCCAGAGAGACCTCTTGCCCCTTACAACATGTGATTGACAAAGAAGGCACCCTCCTGTGAACCAGAAAGGCAGCCTTCACCAGACACAAAATGTGCCAGTGCCTAATCTTGGTCTTCTAAGCCTCCAGAACTATAGGAAATATATTTCTGCTTATAAACTACCCAGTCTAAAACATTTTGTTATAACAGCCCAACAGATTATGACAGTGTGGAAAGAGGAGTAAATGGGTTCCAAGTGTGATATACTCTAATTTCTGTCTATTTGATTCTTTCTTCAAAGGCACCTATTTCCCTTTGCTATTCCTCAGGGGCAGCATATCTGAAAAGTATTACAATGTGGAAGAGGCAAACTCACAAATCATGTTATTATGAAAAAGATAAAATCATGGATATTTCTTCTATCCACATGTAAAAGTTAATTATCCAGTTCAAGAATCTAAGAATATATCTAATTAATGCTTACAGTGTTATCAAATGTATGGTATGAATATTTATTTATATTCAATACATACTGGAGGCTACAAATAAACACATTCACTTTAGTGTTTTCTAGGATATCATTTTATCACAGAAATAAAATTTGCCAGATTGTAATGAAAGAAGACTGACATTAATCTTAGTTACGTTAAAAATATTTTCCTCTCCAGCTTTTGATTGGCAGTGGATTATCCTAGATGGTCCTGTGGACACCTTTTGGGTAGAAAATCTGAACTCTGTGCTAGATGACACTAGAACATTGTGTCTAGCAAACAGTGAGAGAATAGCTTTAACTAATAAAATAAGAGTGATTTTTGAAGTGGACAGTCTCTCTCAGGCCAGTCCTGCTACTGTCAGCCGATGTGCAATGGTCTATATGGTAAGTTTTCAATAACAAATTTCCTAACAAAGAAAATGTGTTGTTTAGGATAATAAATAGCCATTATCTACAGCATTTTATGTTTATTTTATTTTTCCCTGTGGATCCAGCAGTGTGACTCCAATAGTTCAGAAACTTTGTACTTCCCAAAGCCTCACAACCTAGAATTGAATATGAATATAATTACTACTGTTGTTAATACCATTCTTAGCAGTTGGAGTGTCAGTATTTTCCACAACTGTAGTAAGTAGTGCTTTCAACAGACAGGTTAGGCTGCTGATATTATTTTTCCAAAGAGGAAGATTGCCCTAAGGCCTTTTCATTCTCACTTCATGACTCTAAGCACTTTGGAAACATATTACCAAGACTGTGATGAGGAAGTAGAAGACACAACAAAGAATAAATATTTTGTGTACATTAAATTATTAGCTAAGATTAACCAAACATGCTAATCTCCTTAACTGAACGTGATGAATAAAGCTAAGGATAGGGCTGACTTCTGGGTAAGCAGTTCTCCTCGCCACATACACATAGTCTCAACGTGCCTTCCTACATACAGTCCCCCCAATTGTTCATTTTCTTGTAAGACCATGGTTAGAAATCACAAATCATCCCAGAAAAGGGTAAATCTTAAGCTGTTTTGATCATTTGCCCTTTAATGAATGATAATTCTAGGCCATAACTGGTAGGGAGCAGTGATAAAATAAAAATATAGTAAGAAAGTAGGAGAATACTGTATTTTTATTTATTTATATAAGACTATATTGTACTTTTTATTACTAGGATCCTTTTGATCTGGGATGGGAGCCTTATGCTAAGTCATGGCTTTTGAAAACTTCTAAAATTATAAGTCAATCAGGAGTGGATTGTCTTGAATTTATGATTAAAAAAAGTGTCGCAGATGGACTACAATTTATAAAGAAGCATCAGAAATTTCAGCCATATGCTATACAGGATGTAACAATTGTCATAACCCTCTGCAGAATTCTTGATGCTTTGTTTGAATTCATGAGTGACTATGGAGGATTTGGACAAGGTGAGTTTTTTCCCCTGAGTCACATTAGTGATGGGTTTGTTTCCACTAAGTCAATGATGCGGTATCTTTGCTAAGTCAATCATATAATATCTTAGCTAGGCAATGCCAATCTATCACCTTCAATTGGATTTTAGAAAATTCCTGGAAAGCCAACGACAGACATATACGTGTTTTTACAAACTAAAAATCATTTATAGAGGAGCATATCAAAATTAAAGTAATAGCATATGTAAGTGTTGAAAGGTCACAAGAAAAATGAGTGTGAAGAACCCTTAGACTATCTTTATTAGGGAAAAAAATGTTTTTGGTGTGTTTTAAAGATTCTTAGAGCTAAAAATAGTGCACAAAACTATTCAAAGTCCTAGATATAAGCTGTAACCAGATTGAGAGCCAAGATGGATGACTTGAGACACAGCTTGTTGGACCCTCCCAGCGGAATAGTTGAGGGTTGGACTGCAGAGAGTGGAAAATGATTACTGCTCAGAAGTGGACAGACCACAAGGATAGACACAAGTGGAGCCCAGGACCACCACCAAGAGGAACTGTGAAGCTGAGAGACAGAAAAAAGAAATCTGCAGCACAAACCAGATCCAGGGAGTTCTGGAGCCCAGTGAAAGCCTAAGGGATCTTCTCCCTCTCCACCCGGGTGCCACAGGCCAGCAACGGGACACAGGGCTCTCACCCCCCAGGGGAGTGCCATGAGGGACCAGAGAGTCGGCATGCCTGCATCTGGATGCCTTCTCCTCTGCACCTCCTCCACTCCTGGCATCCCAGAAAGTAATTTTTGCCTCAAGCTGGTGTGGCCACACCCTCCCCATAACAACTGCTAAAGCAATTGCTCTGAGAGACTTGGCTTCCCTCAACGGGGGTGCATTCCCTGCCAAACCTGCCTAGGAGAGTGTAGCCACAGCTGCGGTTGCTCAGAGAAGAGGAAGGGACCTGGTGCCCCCTGGATATGAGACCAGTGCAGGAAGACAGCAGCTGTTCCCCCCACCATAGCAGCCACTAGAGTTCTCTGTGCTGAGTGACCTGCTTGCAGCACTGGGGTCACATTCACGCCTGAGCTGGTGGGACAGCCACAGTTTGCAATCTTCCCGCCCACGGGCATTTGGCATGTTCACTGAAGACAGACAGTGGGGCGGGAGACGTAGGGGAGAGGTCCTGTTCCAGGGTCAGTGGCAATTGACAACATGGCCTCTCTTTTCTCTGAATGTTCTTTTGGCGTAAGGAGGTGGAAAATGGAAAGATACCATCCCTGATGATTTCAATTTTTCTTATGAAATAAGAGCCAAAGTTATCTACTGATTTGAGGAAGGTGAAAGGTTGGTTTAAGGTAAACAATAAAGGCTAGGATGGTCATTGAGGGAATAAGAGAGCAGATTAATTCTTCTTAATAAGAAGAAAATTGATGGTATATATTGAGGGCTCATTTGAGAGAGAAACCATGGTCTGCTATAGGTTGGAAAGAGTGAGGAAGTATTAGGAGGCTTCTGTGAGGCTCTCAGGTAATCATCTAGCAGAGGACGGAGGTTCAGTTCCCTACCCAGTTGCCAAAGACTATCATTTACTTTCTCTACTACTATAAATTATGTATCCTTGAAGAAATAAGTTCATTGGTAAGTATTTGCGTAGTCCTAATATAAAATTGGGGACCTGAATCTCATTTCATATCAGCTGTGATCCCTCCAGGGTCATTAAGTAGAGAAATTCTATTCTAGAGAGATGACACAGAGATTTATCAGATTCATTTTATTCACCACTTAGCTAAGTATAACAAAGGGAAGCTGGCAGTACAGCACTACAAAAGTTGCTCTGATATGATACCAAAGGCACAGGTTAAAAAAAAAAAAGACAAATTGAACTTCATCAAAATTAAAATTTTTGTGCATCCAAGGACACTATCAGCAGAGAAAAAAAATAGCCCATAGAGGGGGAAAAATATTTACAAATCACATGTCTTATGGAGCTTAATATCCAGAATATATAAAGAACTCTTACGATTCAACAGCAAAATAACAGTCAATTCAAAAATGGGCAAAGGACATGAATAGTTATTTCTCCAAAGAAGACATATAAATAGGCAAGAAGCACATGAAAAGATCCTCAATATCACTCATCATTAAGGAAATACAAATCAAAATCATAATGAGATACCATTTCATATCCATCAGAATTGCTATTATTTAAAAAATACCAGAAGATAACAAATGTTGGAATGGGTATGGAGAAATTGGAAGCATCATGCATTGCTGATAGTAGTGTAAAATGTTCCAGCCGCTGTGGAAAATGACATAGTAATTCCTTAAAAAAAAATTAAACATAGAATTACCATTTGACCCAGCAATTCCACTTGTGAGTATGTACCCAAAATAATTGAAAGCAGGGACTTGAACAGATATTTGTACTCCAGTGTTCATAGCAGCATTTTTCATGGTGGCCAAAAAGTAGAAATCATATACCTATTCATCAATGGAAGAATGGATAAATAAAATGTGATATATAAACACAATGGAATATTAGCCTTAAAACAGAATGAAATTCTGACACAAAATGGATGAACCTTGAAGACATCCTACTAAGTGAAATATGCCAGACACAAAAGGACGAATATTACATGATTCCACTTTTAAAAAGGTATTTAGAATAGTCAAATATAGAGAGACAGGAAGTAGAACAGTGGTTCCCAGGGACTGGGGGGTGGGGTGGAGGAGAAATGGGGAGTTACTGTTTAATGGATAGTGTTTCAATATGAGATGATGAAATGTTCTGAAGATAGTGGTTATGCTTGTGACTATAATTAATGCCACTGAACTTTTCACTTAAAAATGGTTAAAATGGTAAATTTTATTATATGTAATTTTACCACAGTGAGAAATTTTTAAGTAACTCTCTAAAATTTTGCACGACTATATAAACTTCAAATATTCAATGCCATTCCTGCTATCACAGCCTACAGTATACATTTACACAGAATATTCTTCCTGAACATTGTCATGTATAAAATGACTGGGGATAGTGTCGAGGAGGGGGCAGGTATAAATTTACCTGGGTCACAAGGATCTTTGCACAAGTGCAAAAATTTCTGATAAAAGTTTTTAAGAGAATATTTAATCTTACAGATAATGACAGGAAAATTTATTTGAAAATAAGATAAAATTTTTGTCTATTAAATAAGTAAAGAGTTTTCTGAGATAACAAAACACAGAAGTGTACAAAGATTTATGCAGAAAAAAGTTTATTCATGGCAGAATTATTCAGTAATCTGAATTCCAACAATGAGGGGGTACCTTAATGAATTATGATGCAACAAATCATGTTTCAAAGGATTTTTAATGACACGAAGATAGGCTTAAAATTAAAGAGCAGGATAAAAACCCAAGTCTCTTTTTAATTTTTATATTTAAGTTTAAATTTTAAAATATGTTTTTATATAATTTATGTCTTTATATAAGACCATAAAGAAATGCGTCAACATTTTAGTGGCTAATACCATTGTGGAATGAGGGATGATTATTTTCTTCTGTATAGTTTTGTGTATCTTCTAAATGTTCTAAAGGAAGCATATTCATTTTAATATTAAGAAAACAAATATTATAAAAGAAAAAATAAGCTAAAAGGAAGAATGATTAATTATTTACTCTTTGTGTTTGTCTGTGGAATGAATGACTTGGACAAAAAAGGTGGGTGATGGGGATAGAAGAGAGACAACAGCAGTCTGTCTAAAGTGCACCTGCAGATACTTGTTTTGATACATTTCTTACTTGAAAGCTACGACTTCTTATGCTCCACTTTATTAGGGCCCATTTATTGTTTAGTTTGTCATGTGCACCGCCATGTTTAGAGGTAGTCGCATGAATGTTTCAAAGTTTTCATTTTGGAACAATCTAACTTATGAAAATAGAATAAGGAACGAAAGTATGCAGCTCTGTGCTTCAAATAAAAATCAATTCAGACAATTTTAAGAACATTCTCTGCTCTTTTCTTAGAAAAGTAACTCTCATTTTGTTCTGATAAGGTAACTCATGTGAAACTAAGATGTTCTCCTATGACAGTTTTCTTACTAAACAATGTTAAAGGTTAAATGTCACTAGTTAACCAGCTAAATTTTAGGTCTGTTGTTAATTGTAGAAAAATACTGTCTCCTTTTTAAGGTTATGAGTTGAGTGACACTTCACCTACGGAGATGAATTCGCAAGAAGTTTCTGTCAAATTCAAGGATATAGAAAAGAGGTCAGTTACATTCATTTAACAAACATATTTAATACCCGCTAGCTGCCAAACACTCAAATATACACAGGATTACTTGTCGATAAACCAGTACTTTTGCGATTTCATAACATCAAAATTCATTTAAATTTATATTATTCCTACTTAGAGCCCTTCATATAATTAATAAAAGATCACCAAATTTTATGCTAAGTTTTGAAATAATAGGTATTATATGAATACATTTGTCTATCCTCTGTACATATTTGAGAAGGAATAAAATTGACATGAATTTATTTTATGATCTGTGAAATGGTGAACCAGTTACTAAATATTTTTTAAGCTTTGATTTTTTTACTTATAAAACTGGAATAGTAATGTCATGTGTTAGGTATCTAGATTAGAGCCTGATGCATAGTAAATTCTGAATAAATTTTTATTTCTATGGAAATGATTAGTTCTACATTTTTGCTACCATTTTGTAGGATAGAAGAGTCACTGTTGGGGCCTTCCTATTTCTCATTATGAATCCCTAAGACATTTATGTCACATTTGCTTTTGAATGATAAAACATTCTAAATGTGGCTCCCACTCTACTTTTCAGCTCTAACTTCATTCATATCCATTCACTTATCAACATCTTACTTATGGCATTACAGCCCAAACTACCATCATTTCTTGCCTATACTGTTGCAATAACCTTCTAATTGGTTTCCCCAATTCTTCAAGTTCATTCTCAACATAACAAGAAGAGATTATTTTTGTTTTTATTAATTAGTAGTCATAGAATAATATTTATAAAATATGCATAAGATATAAATAACAATACCACAAATGCCCATATACATACCACTCAGTTATAGAAAAAGCTATTATTTTAGTTTTGAAGTCCCCTGTGTACTGTCCTATATCTTATGCCATCCCATCATCTGAGATAACTACTGTCTTAGATTTTGTGTATTAATATATTCACAAATAATATATTTTTCAGCTTTGTGGGCTTTTGAACTTTAAATAAACAGAATCATTCTGTATGAGCTTCCATGACTTGCATTTTGTGTTCAACATTTTGTCTCTGTGATTAGTCCATTGTGCATGTAGCTGTTCTTCATTCATTTTGAGTGCTAATAGTCCATTGTCATTGTATACATATATCACAGTATCATAGTTTATTTTTCCATTGATAAACATTAGCTTGTTTTCAATTTTTGTTATTAAAAATTATACTGTGATTAATATGCTTACACATGTCTTCTGGTTCATATATGGACAAGTTGATCTTTTTAAAACACAAATTACAATCTTTCTTTTCTCTTTTATAGCCATTTAGTGACTTCTCATTACACTGAACGTGGAAGTAAAAAAAATCTTGGTACAGCTTTAAAAGCCCCTGCCTACCTCTCCAGACTCATCTCCTAATCTTTTTCTAACTGTGCTTCAGTGACACTTGGTTCCCTGCCCTTGCCACCCAGTTCCTCAAACATGCCATAATCTTTTGACCTGGCTTATACTGCCACATTTATACTGCTTGGCTTTAGGGTCAGGTTGAACTAAATCAAGTTGAGCTAAACCAACCTCTAGGAATTGGTTGAGACTTCATTATCTTGGCACATGTATTCCTGCTGCCCAAAATGCTTTTCCCCCTATATTTTGCCAAATCTCACTTATCCTTCAAGTCTCAATTTAACAGTTGCTTCTTCAAAGAGGCTGTCTCTTACTCCCACAATCTAAATTAGTTATCCCTACTATTATTCTTGATTGGTATGCTTGATTCTTCATTCTTTGCACTTATCATGGTTTAGTATTCATTTTCCTATTCTGTGAAAAAGGGATCGTGTCTGTTTTCATGAAAAGGGGATCGTGTACATAGTTACTCTGTGTACAGAGTAACTGATTATATAGTAGCCACTCAATAAATATTTGTTGAATGAACTACTATGCATGGCTAGAAATTTCAGATAAGATTGCGCTAATGAATGGTACATTAATGGTTGCTAATAAATTCCAGTTAAATTTCAGTTCAGTGATATATTTTTAGGTTTTTCATAATTTGTAAATAATTTTATGATAATACTAAATCCTGAACTATACAATATGTCTTGAAATCAGGCCCAAACCTCTTGTTCAGCCCCATTACCATCAACCCTGTAGTGACAGGGTGATAGAATTTCAGAGTCCCACTGACAAAGGATAACTTGGGTTGACCCAGACTAGAGAAGATTCTCCCCAGATTTATACTGCCGGGCTTTAGAGCCAGGTTGGACTAAAGTTGAGCTAAATCAACCTCTAGGAATTGGTTGACAGGTGTACAGGGCAAATGACTATTCACTTAGCATCTTTTCACATGAAATGAAGAATTATCAGATCCTCTCCCCAAAGACAGGTAAATGCTCATCTAATAAACTGACCTAAAAATAAAATTGAAACATATGTACATATATTAAATTAAATTGTGTGTATATTAGATAAAAACATATATTTAATAAATGTATATTATAAAATTATATTTACATATATTAAATAAAAACATTAATATATAATATATTAAAGGTATATTTTAAATGAAGTTTAACTACAAATCTCTTACACATATAGTTCTTCAAAAATAAAAATGGTAATGTGTAATTTATATGGCTATTATCATAGGAAAAATTATACATGAGTTCTGAAGCTTTGTTTCAACACTTAACTATATTACAATTTTTAATAATGAAACTTTGACATGATATTGAAATAAATTTCTGAGCTGCTTTCTAAAACTTTTAACCTTCATCCTTCCCATACATATCTATTGCAGGGATGAAAACACATGGTATCTGGAAAGAAATCCAGATAAATTAGCAGTAATGATTCAAAAGCTTTTTGTGTTTGCATTTACTTGGGCATTTGGAGGAACTTTAAACCGTGAAGATGAACATAAAGATGATATACGATTTTGTCCCAGTTTTAAATCTGATTCACTTGCAAAAGTAACCTATGATTTTGACAAACTTGTTCATGAATTATTTGGAAACAATTCACAAGTAGGTAAGTTCTGGGGAAAAAACATAATTATGTTTATTGTAGAAATATTAATTAAAAAGTATGCTTGGGCTTATACTGATTAGGTCTGTCTTTTAAAAGGTCAAGATTAGAGGTAACAGAGGGGTACTATTTCCTGGATACATTGTTCATTTTTCTTGATCTTGATTCTTTTCTCTTTACCTTTAGCTGATTAGGTTAATTTGAAAACCTTGTCATCAAGCTCTGAAATTCTTTCTTCTGCTTGGTCTATCTAGTCTGTTGTTAAAATTTTCCACTGTATTTTGATATTACCTAAATGACTCTTTCTTTCCAGAAGCTCTGTTGTATTTTTTCTTATATTATCTATTTCTTTAGTGAATTTTTCATTCATGTCCTGAATTTTGTGTTTCTTTGTGTTAGTTTTCAACTTTCTCATCAATCCCATTGATCTTGCTTGCCATCCATACTCTGAATTCCAAATCTGACATTTCAACAATTTTATTTTGGTTGGAATCTACTGCTAGAGAGCTCATGTGATCCTTTGGGGGTATCAAAACAGCCTGATTTTTCATGTTGCCAGAATTCTTATTATGCTGGTTCCTTCTCATCTAGATCCTCTTCTCTCGACTCAAAACAGATAGCTCTTTGGTATACTGTTCCCCACTGGAATCTCTGTTGCTCACTAAAGAGATGGAGAGGTCCCTGGATGGTGTTCTTGAGTCCTACTCCAGAAGATTGACCAGGCAGGAGATGGGTGGGTGCACTGTGAGCCTTTAACATTGCTATTGTCATGCGTCTCTTTATCCCCCTGTGTTTGTCATGGGCAGGCTGACACAGCAGGTGCTACTCAGGTGGTGGCGGTACGAGCCAGGGACCTAAGGCACGTGCTCCACCTGGGTCCCACAGCAGCTCTGGCTGGGTGAGGCCATCGAGATGGCAGCAGCAGGCACTAGGTCTGTGGGCACCTGCTCTGCCTGGGTCCCCCAGTGGCAGTGGAGACATGTGGCACCTGCCCAAAGCGTTCATGAGAATGCTTGGCCTCTCTGCTTTGTCTCCAGCCTAGCAGGTGTAATTGGGAGGCATCAGGAACAGATCTGACTCCTAGGTAGATGAAGCATTCTTGGGCTGGGACCTCAAAATGCCACCAGCCATAGCACCCAGCATTTGGGAACCAGTGGGACCCCACTGTGCCTTCTCCACAGAGCAATACCACTGCACAGTCTCCAGTAAGCTCCCTATATCAGACTGGAGGCCTGCTGCAGTGGAGGCATTCTCCTTTAGCTCCAATTACAGTATCCACAGGGCAAGTGTGGAGCCCCAGAATTCTCTCCTCTGTCACTTCCCTGTGTGTGTGCCTCCCCCGGATGCCTTCAATCCTGCTGAGCGGGCCATCCCACTTCCCTGTCCTTCACTTTGGGTGCTTCGTATCACCTCTCTGTTGATTCCCAATGCTGTCTCCTAGATGATTGATCCAAAGGTGAATATCTACTTGTCACTTTCAGTCCTCTCCATGAGAACGGCATGTGCAGGCTGCTTCTAGTTCACCATCTTGGCCTAAATCCCCAAGAACTTATATTTCCAACTGTACATAACACAGTTTCATATATTGACACAGGTTGTGTTACAAAGAAAACTCAACAAATTGTAAAGAATGAATGTCATACATATTACCACATATGTAATACATATGACCACAATGCAATAAAATTGTAGAATACATAATTTCAAAGTTATTTTTGGAAACTTTAAAATTCCCTTCTAAAAATTCATGGAATAAAGAAAAAAAAAATCATGGAAAGTATAGTAGATTGGGTATTCTGTAGAACCTTCTTGTTTAACAAAAAAGATCCTGTATAAAACTTAATTATCACTGCATTCCTTTTAAAGAAAGTAAGAGAAAACAACAATTTGTCAAGAAAACTGGAGTTTAAAATAGAGGAAGGAGTTGCAAAGTAAGGTTACCCTGAGGAAAAATGTCAGTGTCCTAGTTCTGCAAGTAATTTGAGACTAAGACTTAGAACACAAGCAAAGTGGAGAGCTGGACTAAAGACTCCCAAATTAAAGTGGAGAGCTCAGAGGAACCTCAAGTGGTCCTATGTCAGTAGTCTTCACTGGCTCCTGGAAAATAACGAAATCATCTCCGGAAAAAATCATCTTAAATTTAGGCCTCCAGATTTCCTACAGGTGAAAAATAAAACACTATATATGAATATATGAGAGTCAGTTTAGGTTTATAAAGACTTCAGATATTAGAATTACTGACTACACAATAAAAAATAACTATGTATAAATATTTAAAGAAGTAAAAAAAAAAAAGCTAATACAGCAAGCAAACTATCAAAAATGATTAAGCATATCTGAAAAGAAACCAAATAGAATTTTTAGAAATTAAATATATAATTATCAAAATTTTAAAGTAAACTACATACATCTTAGTAGTGACCTGAAAGAGATATCTTAGTCCATTTGTGCTACTATAACAAAATGCCATAAGTGAATACTTCCAAACTCATTTTATGAGGACAACATTACCCTGATACCAAAGCCAGATAAGGACACAACAAAAAAAAATCTACAGGCCAATATCCCTTGTAACCATACATGCTAGAATCCTCAACAAAATACTAGCAAATGAATTCAACAGCACATTATAAAGATCATTCACCATAATCAAGTGTGATTAATCCCAGGGATGCATGGATGGTTCAACATATGCAAAATATTAATGTGACTTATCACATTAAAAGAATGCAGGACAAAAACCACAGGATCACAATAGAGGCCATATATGACAAACCCACAGCTAACATCATACTCATGGGGAAGAGTTGAAAGCCTTTCTTTCAAGATCCAGAACAAGACAATGATGCTTATCCTCACCACTTCAATTCAACACAGTAATGGAAGTTCTTGCCAGAGCAATTAGGCAAGAGAATGAAATAAAATACATCCAAATTAGAAAGAAACAAATTGTTCCCGTTTGCAGATGGCATGATCTTATTTATAGAAAACTCTAAAGACTTCACCAGAAAACTGTTAGAACTAATAAACAAATTTAGTAAAGTTTCAAGATACAAAATTAACATACAAAAATCTATACTGTACACTAACAGTGAACTGTCTGGGAAAAAAATCAAGCAAATCCCATTTATAATAGTTACACACACACACACAAACACACACACATCCTTAGGAATACATTCAACCAAAGAAGTGAAAGATCTCCAAATTGAAAACTGCAAAACATTGATAAAAGAAATTAAAGAAGACAAAAACATATGGAAAAATAAGTCATGTTCGTGGATTGGAAGAATTAATTATTATAGTATTGTTAAAATGTCCATACTGCCAAAAGTAATCTACAGATTCAATGCAATTCCTATCAAAATGCCAATGACATTCTCCACAAAAATAGAAAAGACAATCCTAAAATTAGTATAGAACCACAAAAGACGCCAAATAGCCAACACAATCTTGAGCAAAAGGAAGAAACCTGGAGGCATCACAGTACCTGACTTCAAAATATACTGCAATGCCATGGTAACATGACTGCGTGATACTGATACAAGATCAGACACACAGACCAACTGAACAGAATAGAGAGCTCAGAAATAAATCCACACATTTACAGCCAACTGATTTTCAACAAAAGCACCAAGAACACAAAATGGGAAAGCACATCTCTTTCATAAATGATGTTGGGAAAAAGGAACATCTACATGCAGAAGAATGAAAGTAGATCTTTATATCACACCATATTCCAAAATAAATGCAGTATTTTATAGACACAAAAGGTAAAATAATTTTTTCAGGCTAGCAAAAATGGAGATAATTTTGTATTAGTAAACCTAAAGAAAATAGTGTTCTTCAACAGAAGAAAATTTATTTCAAATGAAAGATGGCATTTTAAGGAACAAATAAAATGCAATGAAAGTGGTAAATGTGTGGATAAATCTAAATAAATTTTAACTATATAAAATGAGAATAATTATAATAATTCTGATGTAGGATTTAAAATACATAGAGAATTGAAATGAATAACAAGTATAGATAAGAGTTGAAAGGAAGTAAAAGAAATTACAGTATTCTAAAGTTACATCCTTCAGGAGGGAAGATAATAATAATTAACATTAGACTTTCTCAAGAATGAATCTTATAATTTCTCAGATATTCACTAAAAATAAAGTTACTAGCATACAACTTCCAAACTTGCAGAGGGAGAGAAATGGAATGTTTTTCAACTATCCAATAAGATACCAAAAGGAAAGTAAATGAGACATATTTTGTAAATAAAGGTATGTTTAGCTACAATGTCCCATTTTTCCAATATATGGTGACTTTTGTCACCTGTATTCAAATGAACTCAAATGGATGATAGACCTAAATAAAAAATGTAAAATTGTAAAATTCTTAGAAAAAACAAGAAAAAATGCTTTGTGTCCTTCAGTTAGAGTTCTTACATACAATACCAAAATCATGATCCATAAAAGAAAAAAGTAATATAAAAATTAAAAATATTTGCTATGAAGAAGATACTGATAAGAGAATAAAAAGGCAAGCCACAGATTCAAAGATAATATTTGCAAATCACATTCAGACAAGGACCTATATCTAGAATATATAAACAACTCTTCAAACTAGGCTATGTGTGGTGGCTCATGCCTGTAATCCTACCACTTTGGAAGGCCAAGACAGGAGGATCACTATAGGCCAGGAATTCAAGACCAGCCTGGGTAACTAACATAGTGATACCCTATCTCTACAAAAAAAAATTTTTTTTTAATTAGCCATAAATGGTGGTGCACACCTATAGTCCCAGCTACTTGGGAGGCTAAAGCAGGAAGATTGCCTGGGCCCACTAGTTTAAGGCTGCAATGATCTATGATCACATCACTGTACTCCAGCCTGGGCAACATAGCAAGACCCTGTCTCTAAAAAAAAAAAAAAAAAATGACAGGAATAAACAACATTTGAATACACACTTCACCAAAGAAGATATTCAGATGGTAAATAAGTACATGAAAAGATACTCAACATTATTAGTTACTATGGAAATGAAAATTAAAACCACAATGAGATATGCACCATTATGTCCTATTTGAATGGTTAAATTGAAAATACCAACAGTGTTAATTGTTAGCGTGGATGCACAGCAACAAGAATTTTCACATATTGCTAATGGGAAGACAAAATGATACAGCCATTCACTCTGGAAAGCAGTATGGCAGTTTCTTAAAATGTTAAATGTGTACTTATCCCAGAAATCTCACTTCTAGATACTTATCCTACAGAAATGAAAACTTATATTCACACAGAAACATGTACACAAATATTTATAGCAGCATTTTTCATAACTGACAAAAACTGGAAATAATTCAAATGTCTTTTAATGGGTGAATGGATAAATAAACTGTGATATATACACATAATGGAATACTCCTCAGCAGTAAAAGGGGTGAGCTTTTGATATATGCAACACCATGGATGAATCTCAAATGCATCATGCTAAGAGAAAGAGCCCAGAGTCAAACAGTTACTATATTAATCGGGTTCTCCAGAGAAACAGAGCTAATAGAACATACAGAGATATATCGACTCACATGATTATGGAGGCTGAAAAGTCACACGCTATGCCATCTCCAAGCTGGAGGACCAAGAAAGCAAATGATGTAATTCAGTCTGAGTCCAAAGGCCTGAGAATCAGGGGAGCTAGTGCTATACTTTCCAGTTCAAAGCCAAGAAGAGGGGAGGGTATGCTGGTAAGTCCCTGAGTCCAAAGGCCAGAAAACCAGGAGCTCTGATGTCAGAGGGCAACAGAAGACAGTCTCAGCTCAAGAAGAGAGAGAATTTGCCCTTCCTCTGCTGTTCTGTTCCATTCAGACCTCAACAGATGTGATAAGGCCCACCCACATTGGTGAGGGTGGATCTTCTTTATTCAGCCTACTGATTCAAATGCTAATGGTTCTTGAAACACCCTCACAGACACATCCAGAAACAATGATTTACCAGCTATGCGAGTATACCGTAGGCCAGTCAAGTTGACACATTAAATTAATTATCAGAGTTACAAACTTTATGATTCCACTTGTGTGACATACTGGAAAAAGCAAAACGAAAACAGAACGGATCAGTGGTTGCCAAGGATTAGGACGGGGAGAAGGTCTGAATACAAAAAAGGTAGCACTAAGGAATTCTTTTGTGTTTTGGAATTATTCTGTATCCCATATATAATGACAGTAACAAAAATCCATGCATGTGAGAAAAAACTCAGAACTGTATGCAAAAAGAAAAGTGAATTTTACTGTATGTAAAATTTTATAAATAATTGAAAGAATGTATGAAATATTAATAATTTTCTTTATATAGTGAATCAATAACTAAATTATTTTGCTTTTCTATATTTCTAGAATTTTCTATTAAGAAACTTATTACTTTTTATAGTGGAAAAATAAATGTCATTTACAAATAACTATCAAAGTTCTCTAATGGATTGATTGGACTGCAACCAATATGTTATTGGCATTTGATAGCATCTAAACACATGATAATAAGCAGAACTTTGGGATATGATTTCAAAGAATATCAAATTCACCTTGCTTTCTGGATGTAAAAAGGACAAAAAAGTCAATAAAACTTTGCTTTTATACATTAAAGATTAGAAAAAATAAGGCCTATTTTATGTAGTTGGATATAGCCTTAGTGAATACTTATTATTTCTGGTTTAACAATCCCATCTTTCAGATAAAATTCATATGGTTAGTGAAACATTCCATAACTGAATATCTTTCTTACTTGAATTTATTTATTTCTCATTTTTGGATATAGGCATTAACCTACCAACTGGTGAACATACTATCTTTGAGTATTTTGTGGATATACAGCAATGTGAATTTATACTTTGGTCAGATGTAGTTCCTAGAGATCAGACACTAATTCAAAGAGGTAAGAATAATTATAAGACTAATACTTGTAAATTCTCTAAAATATTGAGTATTTATGAAAGTATTTATGTCAGCACCTTTGAGGACTAATACATTCTTCGTTTGTGTAGAGACCAGTTGAGACATATGTTTACAAATGTGCCTTTTAAAAGTAACTTTTGAATACAACTTTCTGAGAAATTTGGAATGTATTTGATGGAGTCAGATGCACATTGTAAAACTGTAGTGCATTAAAAGTCTTACTAATGGCAATATTTATTTTAATTAGCTGTGATTATTGAAAGTACCACTTCCAAAATAGGAAAAACATATATGTAAAAACTTATATTTGGTTATAAAGGAAACTGCTAATTATGCTAAATTATTTTAATTCTCAATCTTTGCTTCTACATATAGCAGAAAAAGATATAGAAAATTATTGCACTTTGAAAGCCTGGTAGAAGTTTGAGACCAGAACTCAATGATCAAGCTTCTTGTAGATTTCTTGCAAACATAATAAATGCAATAAATGCAACCTGAATTGAATTGCTTTGAGGCCACGTTTCTCTCATCAAAGAATTTCAAAGTTTAGTCACAAGAGTTTTGACAGAAAGCAACTATAACTACCAGAATGTTCTAGCTCTAAATTTGTTTCGGTTGGTAAACCAAGGTTATTTTATACAATATTTTGTCACAATAAATATAAGTGGCCGATTATATTTATTTGAAACTCTGGATTGTATTTCATATCTTAGTGCTAATATTGAATTATTTTTATCCTAAGCTTTTTACCACTATATAGAAAAAGTATAAATGATTATCATTTGCATATAACTCTACATTTTAGTATACCTCTCCTATGGGAGTAGATTATTCAACAAATGGTATTAGTTCAACCAGGTAACAGGTGAATTAAAAATTAAAAGTAAATGTTCTTTTTAAAAAGCATAAAAGTATTAGAAGAAATTATATGAGAATTTTTAAATAATCTTGGAGTGAAGGTGATCTTTCTATATATGACACAAATTATATAAGCCAGCAGGAAAACATAGATATACTCAACTATTAATACATAAAACAGGTAATAAAAGATGTCATATCACAAGGGCTAATTTTCTTACTATAAAAGGAGCCTCTACAAATCAAATTTAAAAGAAGCTCATTTCTATAAAATGAAGCTCATTTTCTATAAAAATGGGCTAAGAATATAAATAGATAGTTCACAGAAAAACAAATGGCTCTCAGTTATAAAAAGAGTTGTCCCATAATGTGAGAAATATGAGTGAAACTAGAATTAGATACAATTTTTCACCTACAATATTGGCGAGGATCAAAAAAGTTTGATACTTTTGGCAAAGATGTGAGGATACAGACTCTCAAACACTGGAGGGCAATTTGTCAATATCTATCAAAATTATAAATCATAGCCCCATTTATATTGACCCAGCAAGTCCACTTATAAGAAATTATTCCACATATATGCAAAGTGACATGTATATTACATAAACTCAGCTTTATTTTTAATAATAAAGCACTGGAAACACCATAGATGTCCACCATCACGGAGCACTGGTGAAAAGTTTGTGATACATTTATTAAATGGAATATTAATCAGAAAAAAAATTACTGATATAGAAGGATCTCTCAAATGCACCAAATTAAAAAAAAAAAAGGAAATGGCAGAATAGTATACAATATATGGGAACTGGGTGGCTTGGATACGGGAATAAAAACCTTTATTTACTTTTAAGTTATGTACCATGTGAATGTATTGGCTGTTCAACTAAGTTTTTAATTAAAGAAAGAATTAATAACAAATGATGACATAAGGCTATGTTATATTTAACTCTTTTGAGTTTTGGTCATGAAATGGGGAAGAGAATTAGGGTAGGGTAGTATTTATTGAAGGCTGTAGGATCCAGAGAGGTTTGGTTGGGGGTGGGGAGTGTTTTATATTAAATTGCCTATATTCAACTAGTTTTTACTTTTAAAAATGTCAGTTTCACATTGTTCAATCAATGAAAAGATTGGATATCATACATGTTTGTATCATAGAAAATTCCAGTTAAAAGGAAGAGACTGATAATGGTGGGGGAGAAGGGTTACTAAAGAAGTGAAGTTCTTAAAAAAGGATTACAGGAGGTTTTGGCAGAAGAGCTACTTTCATTCTTACAGGAGGACAGAAGGAAGAGATGATTGCATACAAGGGCAGATAGCAGGTTTGGTGGTAGGAAAGTCATGCTGTTTGCTTATGGCGGTCTTGGGAACGTGTGCAGTGAGTTTGCCAGCTGAAAGTATGAGTGAGAGGGACAATTTCTGAAATCAGCAGAGACTGCGGACGCTTGTAACAATGTTGGCTTGTGTGTAAATGTTTAAATTCCTTTGTAATAAAATTGCAGACTTTTCCAGAAAGTTGAGTATCTAAAAGATTAGATTAATATTTCTTTCTAGGTTATTTGAAGCTTTTTTATTTTAACTTAGGAACTTCATTTCTAACTGATCGAGGATCTGGTGAAAACCTCTTGAAGATAACAGAATATAGAGAGGGTGTTAATTATACCTCTACAAGAGATACGACATGCCTTTGTTTTCTCATGAGCCTTCTTTTAAAGAATTCCTGCCCTGTTCTTGTCACAGGTATTAAAAATATTTAACAGAAGGTGAATTTCAGAGTTAGAAGAAGGTTAAGAGATTATTTTGTAAGTGGGAAAAAATATGCCCTGACAAGTTTGGGTGACTATATCAATTTAAATTCTTACCAACAGTATATGAATTCCCACTTCCCCACATGTTTGCCCACACAGGTCATTATAAAACTTCTTTCATCTTTTCATTACCTTCAGGGCAAATTCCAGAAGCAGAACTATTGGATTAATATATGTTTGGCCTCCATAGCCTGTGGACTAAGGTCCTTATTGAAAACATTAATTGATTTAATTAAATTTACACACAATTCCTCCACCCAATGTTAAAATTTTTCTTTTACTGTTATCAAAGAAGTAATTCTATACACGCCTACTCTTTAACGCTTATTACAACCTTTTGATTACTTTTTCCAATTCTCTAACTTCTGCTGCCTATCACCAGAGGCAATAGTATTGATTTCCCAGTTCCATATTCAAAGAATTCAGGCCTGTAACTCTCAGATAACCCATACCTTGCCTCTAATTTGACCTAAGAAAATTCTTATTTTTACTTTAATATTTAGCAAATGATAAACTCATGAATCCTTGTTCTGCTTCAATAAGGAATTTTTCATCAAATTTCTCCCTCACATTGTGTTAGCAAACATTTTCAAGGAATTTCATTTCATTCAGTAGCTGTACTGAGCTATAAGCAAAAAGATTTGTGATAGGCTTAAATGAACGTTAGATAAAAATAATAGCTAACACCTAATCCATACTTGCGTAAAAAATGTAAATAATTCAAATAATTTGAGAGGGTTTCATATCAAATTCCTGATTTAGCCACTCTTAGCCACATTTTTGAAAGGAAAAAATAAAAATAATTTTCATGTAATTTTCAAATGAAGGAAAATGTTATTGGTTCATTTTAATATGCTAACATGTGTTATTTTCTTGCATGTAAACCTAACCTAATATATATTTCCCCTTAGGAGAATCTGGTGTTGGGAAGACTGCTGCCATAAACCAAATGCTTGAAAAGTTAAAAAGTCCAGGAGCATTTGACATAAAATATGGTTCAATTTTAGGAGATGTCCTATTATATAATGAATTTAAAAAATCAAGGTCGTGTATATTAAGCTCTAAATTTAATTTACCTGGTAGAAAAGTTTGCTTTAGTGTATAAATGTGCCTTGTTTTTAAAAACCAAATCTGTTATGTAAAAATGCAGAATTCTTCAAAAGAGGAGATAAAAATGAAAATTCTTTTTTCCCTAATCTTTTCTTTATATTTTTAATTTAGATTTTTATTTTTAATTGACAAATAATTGTATATATTTATGGGGTACAATGTGGTGTTTTGATATATATATGCATTGTGGAATGATTATATCAGCTAATTAACATATCCATCACCTGAGATACTTATCATTTTTGTAGTGAGAACAATTGAAATCTATTAGCAATTTGGGAATATACAACACATTATTATTAGCTATGGTCACCATGCTGTGTGATACATATCAAAATCTTATTCTTCTTGTCCAACTGAAACTTTATAACCCTCTAACCAACAATTCTCTCCCTCCTCCTAGAACCCCCAGCTCCTAGAACCATTATTCTATTCTCTGCTTCTATGAGTTTGACTTTTTTTATATTCCATATGTAAGTGAGATTATGCAGTATTTGTCTTTCTGAGCTTGGTTTATTTTACTTAGCACAATGTTCTCCAGGTTCATCGGGTTGTTGCAAATAATAGGATTTAATTCTTTTTTAAGGCTAAATAGCATTTGTACCACATTTTTTAATCCATTAATAAATTGATGGGCAAAGGTTGATTCCATATCTTAGCTATTGTGAATAATGCTGCAATGAACAATGGGAGTGCAGATATCTCTTTGACATACTGATTTTAAGTCTTTTGGTTATATACCCAGAAGTGGAATAGCTGGATCATAATGGTAATTCTGTTTTTAGTTTTTTGAGGAACTTTCATACTATTTTCCATAATGTCTGTACTAATTCACATTTTCATCAACTGTGTATAAGAATTCTCTTTTTCCACATCCTTGCCAACATTTATTATCTTTGGTCTTTTTGATAATAGGCATATTAACAGATGTGAAGCAATGCTGTGTCTTATTGTGATTCTGATTTGCATTTCCCTGATGATTAGTGATATTGAGCATTTTTTCATAAACCTGCTGACTATTTTTATATCTTCTTTTGAAAAATGTCTATTCAAGTCCTTTGCCCATTTTTTAACTAGATTATTTGTTTTCTTGCTATTGAGTTGAGTTCTTTGTATATTTTGAATACTAACCTCTTAACAGATGTATTGTTTGCAAATATTTTCTCCCATTCCTTAGATTGTCTCTTCACTCTATTAATTGTTCCTTTTGATGTTCACAAGCATTTTAATTGGATACAATACCATTTGCCTATTTTTCCTTTTGTTGACTATGTTTTTGGGATTGTATCTAAAAAAATCATTGCCCAGACCAATATCATAGAGCTTTTCCCCATGTGTTCTTCTAGAGGTTTTACAGTTTCAGATGTTACATTTAAGTTTTAATCCATTTTGAGTTGATTTTCAAATATGGTATGATATAAGGGTCCAATTTTATTCTTCTGCATGTGGGTATCCAGTTTTCTCAGCACCGTTTATTGAAAAGACTATCCTTTCCCCATTGTGTATTCTTGGCACCTTTATTGAAAATCAATTGACGTAAGTATATGGGTTTATTTCTGGGCTCTCTATATTGTTTCATTGGTCAATGTGTCTGTTTTTATGCCAGTACTATGTTGTTTTGATTACTATATCTTTGTAATATATTTTGAAATCAGGTAATGTGATGCCTCCAGCCTTTGTTCTTTTTGTTCAAGATTGCTTTGGCTATTCAGGGTCTTTTGTGTTCCATAGGAAAAATGAAAAATAACATTGTAATTTTTATGGAGACTGCATTGAATATATAGATCATTTTAGGTAGTATGGATATTTTAACAATACCAATTCTTCCAATCTATGAACACAGGATATATTTACACTTATTTCTGTTTTTGTCAATTTCTTTCATCAATGTACTATAGTTTTCAATATACTGATATTTTACCTTCAGATCAAATTTACTATTTTTGTAGTATTGTAAATGCGATTGTTCTGTAAAATCCAAATTTTACAGAACAAATCCTTTTAATAAAGGAATTTGTTCTGTGAAGTCTGGATTCGATCAAAAGGCCACACTCAAGGATCCAGAAAGTCACATGTTCCCCACTGCTGTATATTGAAAAGAAGTGGTAGGGGTGGGCATTCTCATCTTACTCCTGATCATAGAAGAAAATCTTTCAACTTTTTGCCACTGAGTATGTTAGCTGTGGGCTTGTCATATATGGCCCTTTGTTGTGTTGAAGTACATTCCTTCTATACCTAATTTGTTGAGAATTTTTTATGAAAAAGTGTTGAATTTTGTCAAAATGCTTCTTCTGCATTTATTGAGATGATTGCATAGTTTTTGTCCTTCATTCTGTTAATATGATATATCACATTTGTTGATTTCTGTATGTTGAACCCTCCTTGCAATCAGAGATAGGTTCCACTTGATCATGGTGAATGATCCTTTTAATGTGCTGTTGAATTTGGTCTTGTTAGTCTTATGTTGAGGATTTTTGCATCCATGTTCATCAGGGATATTGGCTGTAATTTTCTTTTCTTGTAGTGTTCTTTTCTGGCTTTGGTATTAGGGTAATGGTGGCCTTGTGAAATGAGTTTTGAAGTAATCCTTCCACCTCAATTTTTTGGAAGAGTTTGAGAAGGATTGGTATTAATTCCTCTTTAAATGGTTGATGGAATTCAGCATAAAACCATTCATTTCTGGGCTTTTCTTTGATATGAGACTTTTTGTTACTGATTGAATCTCTTATTATTGGTCTATTCAGATTTTCTATTTAGAAAAAAATTTACTTTTCCAAAATATGAGCAACTAGATTCATTACTATAAGTGAGAAATTCTTACATTTATATAAATATAAAAGAATTTAAATTATTAATGTTTTTTACGTAACAAAGTATAGCTATAAATTATTTTTCCTCAGGAAAAATGCACCTAAAATATACAAGTAAAGTTTTCTCTTATATTCATTTTGTTGCCTTAGAAATATATGTCCTTCTTATCAAATGTAAAAATACTCTTGACAGAGAAGTTTATCTCTGTCATTGTGTCCATCTCTTCCTGAAGAAAAAAAGAACAAAAAGAAATCCACATTTTGTGAATAAAAAGTGCAAATTTTTAAAGTTATTTCTATTTCTGTTAAAATAGAGGCGCCTGCTATTGTTTGAATTGGAGAAGAAGATGGAATTGTGGAGAAGCCCATATCAGACCTTTCCTCTAATCATTAGACTCATATATCCAACTTTCTATGTCATATATATACTGGGATATCTCATAAATGTCAACTCTTGATTTCTCATCCAAACCTATCCTTCTTCCAGTGTTTCTCATCTCAATAAATGAGATCCATTGATTTAAGCCTGATTTCTGAGAATCATTCCTGAATTTCCCCCCTTTCTCTTACCAGTCTATCTCTAATAGCCCATCTGATTCCTCCTAACACCTGGGTCTCCATTTTCCCTGCCCACATCCAATCTTCTAGTCAAGTCTGTTCTATCTTCATATATATCTTGAATTTCTCTACTTCTCTTTTTACAATGCTACTTTTAGTCCAAGCCACCATCATCTACATAGTGCACTAGTGACTTTGGAATTGTATCCTACCACACTTAAAAAAGGCCTTAAAAATCAGAGAAATAAGTTTTAAAACATTTTTAAAAATTAATACAATAGGAAGTACTCTTCTTTTTTTGAAACAGAGTCTCACTCTAATGCCTGCAGTAGAGTACCATGGCATCATCATACCTCACTGCAGCAACCTCAAACTCCTAGGCTCAAGTGATCCTCCTTCCTCAGTCTTCTGAGTAGCTGGAACTACAGGCTTGTGCCACCAAGCCCAGCTGGCTAATTTCTGTATTTTTTATAGAGATGAGATCTCACTATGTTTCTCAGTCTTGTTGTGAACTCCTGGCCTCAAGCTATCCTCCCACCTTGGCCTCCCTAAGTGCTGGGATTATAGGCATGAGCCACCATGCCTGGCAGGAATCATTGTTTATCTAAATATCTTAAAAAATGGAGTCTGAAAAAAATAACTATTACTGTGTGCACAATATTTAAACTGAAGTGGGTTTTAACAATAGGGCAAACAGCTATTTTCAACCAAACATAAGAAAACAAACACCTAGAAACAAGACCAAAATGAAGGTGAATGGGTCTTTTACTGAGTGACCCATAGGCAAAATGCACTTTTTAAAGGGACAAGGGAGGTAATGGCGTACTATCCAGAGAAAATACCTAATAGTCTGTCATCCTAGGAATTTTTCCAGTTTGTTTTTTAAGCTAAGCCCATATTTTGTTAGTTTTGGTATCAGTTCTAATGGTGACACTAATTTTATCTGTAAATGTGAAAACAGAAAATGAAATTGTTTTCTTGTAGAAAATAGAAGTAAAATCAATCACATGCTGTTACTTTCATCTTTTTTGTTAATACAGCTATTATGGTAAATAAACTAAATTTCAATCCTTAAAATATGTTATTCCAATAGCCTAAACCGGAATATGAGCATCTTGATTTCTGAAACTCATAAGGCAGCATCTGGAAATCTAGGTATGTAATATATAGTACAGTTTTAAAACTTTTCTATCTCAACTATATGTAAGTCATTTCTTATATTCAGAAATCTCAGAATGAGGATTTTAATTGGTAATTTAAAATAAAAAGTCCTGAAAAATATCCAGTAGCTTCTCAAACTGTTCTACCCTACTCAAAAAGTAGAATGATTATGGTAGAGGAGTATTTTATCTGCTCACCAGAAAGCTGATACCTGGCTTATCAGTGGAATCATAGACTAAGTCTAGAAGTAACTGCAGGCAGTATCTTTCTATTTTATTCTTTCCTGCTTTTAGACATAGTACAATAGAAAAGTTATGGTCCTTTAGGAGTTCTCAAATCAGGCCATACATTAGAAACATGTGGAGTTGCAGGAACCACATCCCTAAAAATTCTGACTCAGTAGATTTGGGAGCAGCAACTCCATTTCTCAACAGGAAAAAATGGAGTGGCCCAGAGATAACTGTGCAATGGAAAGGAAGCCAGGCCACAAAATTCCTGCCAGAAGAGGCTTTTGTTTTTGTTTTTACTTTTAAGTTGCCATAGCACCATCCCAAGTAACCACCTGGATGATCTTCCCTCAGGGACTATGCCTTGATTTATGTCTTTGGTGTACAGCTGCATGATGCTTTTAGATTTTAAGTTATTAATATACATGTCCATTGTGAATAGATGAATAGAGAATTCTCTGGGCTTTTGTACTATTGCACTTGGCTATGATTGCAAAGAGGTACTGTTTACCGTGAAAAAGTAAAGAAATATTCCAAAATGGGTGTTCCTTCTATCAGAGTAATTTCTTGAAAAATGACAACAATACAGTAAAATTATGTAATTTTCAAATTGCTTGACAACTTATAATAAAGCAAATATAGTCTTAAAGTGTTCTAAGTTTGTTTTTTTCAATATTTGTCATCATAGATAATTCTACTAAAAAGCCAGAAGTTAGAACTGACGAAAGTTCATTTAAAAATAATAAAAATAAAGGAACTACAGTCTCCACAATAAATTTTGGCACCAATACGACAGCTGCCAAAACCAAGGAGATGATTCTTAAGAAACTAATAAGAAGAACTAAAGACACTCTTGGAGCACCAAAACACAACAGGGTAAAACACCTCCCATACCTGTTAAAGAATCTGCTTATGCTATTCAAGTGATAAATTGATTTGTTTCAATTAATACTAATAAAAATATATGTGTCACATACACTCCTGAACATTCCTAAAAGATGACCTTTATAATGGAAACTTTGGATTTCAAATCAATATAACTCAATTTCCAACATGTTGAATTATACTAATTCAGAATTATTAAGGTCAAAAGAAGCTAGTTATTAAGGTCAAAAGAAGCTACTGACCCAAGTGCCCATCAATACGTGAGTGGATTAATAAAATGTGATATATGTATATCATGGAGTACTATTCAGCTTTAAGAAACAATGGTGATATAGCCACTCTTGGATTTTCCTGCATAGAGCTGGAACCCATTCCACTAAGTGAAGTGTCTCAAGAATGGAAAAACAAGCACCACATGTACTCACCAGCAAATTGGTATTAACGGATCAACACCTAAGTGGACATACAGGAATAACATTTATCGGGTGTCGGGCAGGTGGGAGGGAGGAGGAGGGGATGTGTATATACAAACATAATGAGTGAGATGTGCAACGTTTGGGCAATGGTCACGCTTGAAGCTCTGATTCGAGGAGGGAGGAGGGGCATGGGCAATATACGTAACCCCCATAATATGCTGAAATTAAAAAGTATATATATAATATAAAAAATAAATAAAATAAAAGTTAAAAAAAAGAAGCTACTGAAATCCAAATAAACAGGAAAATGGCTTAGATGCCAACTGCTTTTTAAATGTATATTCTACCACATTTTCTTCCTGTGACCAGACTCCAAGAGTCTCAATTCAATTACAAAAGCTTTTAAGAATTTGCTTCATATTTCTTGATTTTAACTGAAGATAGGGATAAACTTGTTGGGTCTTTGCTTACATGGATAAACTTTAGGGATTTTGAAAAGGTTAATAATTGGGCAACCTAATCACACCAATGGATTATTATATGCCTTGAGGTATTCTTATTTGGGTTGAGTCTGCTGGGTGTTCTTTGGCCTTCTTGTACCTGGATATTCATATCTTTCTCTAGGTTTGGAAAGTTTTCTGCTATTATTTCTTTGGATAAGCTTTCTACCCTGTTTTCTCTCCCTCTACATCCTCTTTAAGGCCAACAATTCTTACATTTGCCCTTTTGAGGCTTTTTTCTAGATCTTGTAGGCATGCTTCATTCTTTTATCTTTTTTCTTCTCTGACTGTATATTTTCATATAACCTGTCTTCAAGCTCATAAATTCTTTCTTCTGCTTGGTCAATTATGCTTTTGAGAGGCTCTGATGTATTTTTCAGTCTGAATTTTTCAGCTTCAGGATTTCTGCTTTTTTATTATTATTTTAAGCTCTTTGTTAACTTTCTCTGATAGAATTCTGTATTCTTTCTCTGTGTTATCTTGAAGTTTGTTGAACTTGCTTGAGACAACTATTTTGAATTCCCTGTCTGAAAGGCCACATATCTCTATCACTCCAAGATTGGTCACTGGTGCCTTAGTTAGTCTATTGGTGAAGTCATGCTTTCCTGGCTGTTCTTGATGCTTGTGGACATTTGTCAATGTCTGGGCATTGAAGAGTTAGGTGTTTGTTTCCATCTTTGCAGTCTGGGCTTGTTTGTACCCATCCTTCTTGAGACTTTCTTGAGAGAGCTTTCCATTCAAAGGGGATCGAGTATTGTGACCTAAGCCTACAGTCACTGTAACCATTTCAGCTCTAGGGGACACCCTAAACCCAGGAATGCTGCAACTCTTATAGATTCCTGGGTACTTAGCCTTGGTGAACTTGGGTAAGATAAATGAGAATTCCTTGGGTTACCAGGCAAAGTCTCTCACTCTCTTCCCCCTCTTTCCCCCAATCAGAAGGAGTCTCTCTGAGCTGGGCTGCCTGCAGTTATGGGAGAGGTGACACAGGCTCCCCTGTAGCCACCACAGTTGTCACTGTGCAGGGTCACACCTGAGGCCTTGCAGACCAGCACAATACTAGGACTTGCCAAAAGATCGCACCAATAGAAAATGCAAAGGAGAAATTTCAGCCAGTTTATGATACAATAGAGGGGAAACTGAGTATCTTACTAAAAAAGGGATACAGACAGTTACAAATTAGATAATCAAACATAAATGGCCATTTGTGTTTTTCTAACAAGTTGCTTGATTTACAAAAATAAATAGAATCTAAAGGGGATAATGCACACATCAGTGTACCATTAGTACACTTCAGCGCATAGTATGTTCAAAATTGGAAAGTAAGACAAGTTTAGAAATTGAAAATGTGTCTGAATTTTCTGCTTGTTGTTCATGACAACAGCATTTGCAGCAGAATTTTAAAAGTCTAGTTCCAGATGACAGTCTTATTCACAAAGCCGGGTGCAAATGAATTAAAGCTGAAACAGTGCCCTGCCACTAGTAGGTAGGCACTCAATAAGTAAATATTGAATGAATAATAGCGACATTCCAGTGTAATAGCCACAGTTATATTACCTTATTCATCATCGAATACATTTCTAACTATTATCAGACATAATTAGTACAGGTCTGTTGATGGTGAATAGAGTTTCTCTATTTTGAGAACTTGTTTTCTAAATTATATTTTCAAAATAGAATTTGATCTGATGTTTTTAATAGAAAAACAGACATCACATATAATTTTGTTCTTACCCCATAGCATAATTAATATTCCTAATTCATAATTTAAAGAAGGATACTAATTAATATGTTTTAAAACCTTTTGTCTTTCTTAAGACTGTAATATTCCTTGATGATATGAATATGCCAGTGTCAGATATGTATGGAGCAAAGCCACCCCTGGAATTGATAAGACAATTATTAGATTTGGGAGGAGTTTATGATACTGGAAAAAATGCATGGAAGGTACAGTATGTACTAAGTTTTGTTCCCATTAAATATTATCACAATGAATTAAATACTTATAACAATGTTGAATGAATTAAGTAAGAAATATAGAAAGTCTAGCCATATGGACATGTTAAGCAAAGTTTAGACCTTAAATTAACCATGCCAATTAGATCTTTGCAATTTAAGTCCATGGGTTTATAGAAATTCTAATTTTAGTCAGTTTAAATCTTAGTAAAAATTGCAAATATGTCACAGAGATTTAGTTTCTGAATCAAATAATGCTCACTATTGTTAACTGTATTTATAGTTAATCAAATTTTTCAATGCATCAGAATTTAGTTAGAGAAAAGCTAATAAAAATGTGGCCTACCAAATACATCCTTAATTTCTATATAAGCCTACTCTACATCTTTATTTTCAAGAACATAGATCAAAGATTATCAGAAGTATTGCAAAATCAAAAAAAAAATCCCAAGGAGATAATCCTGTGCAATTATCTTTGTTACATTGAACTAAATCAAAATGGCTTAAGTTTTTTTTAAAAAAATACGTTCAAATGCACTTTTCTCCCTGTTTAGTTCCTTCTCTGGAAATCACAAGCTCTATGTTTCAGAATTGACTCTACCACTTAAACTTTCTGAGGCTCAGATTCCTCATTTGTAAAATTAGATGGTTGCATTACAGACAGTTTCACGTTTCAGACACACTTGGGCCCCAGATCCTAAATGAGGCACACTGGCTTGTGAGTGCCATCAGCTCAGACACCTGAGGGGAAGAATGCAGATGCAGACCACCAGGGAGAATTCAATAGAAAGCTAGAATCCAGTAGAATGCCAGAAAATAGAAAAGGCAGGAAATAGGTTCTGGAATGCACAGTCTGGACAAGTTCCCTGAACTGACTAGAAACAGAGCAGACCTTTTATGGGATTTCTGTGGCCTGGGACACAAGTAGAAATAAAGCTATTAAAAGCACCCTGTTGTGGGTAGAAGAGATTGTCGGTATGCTTTCATCCAGCTGTTCAATGCTATGATGTTGTAACGTGTCAAATGAACATTATGATGTTAACAGTGAAGCATCTTCTCACCCCAAGCCAGTCCTGGCCATTTTGGAGACACACTCAGGAGACTCTTCTGATTTCTCACTTTTCATCAGAAGCCTCTTTGCTAGCCTTGATAACATAGTGCTTATTTTCCAATGATTGCTTTAAAAAAAAACGAGCTATTTCCTGATAACATTTAGGAAACCTCCTAAAAGTAACATGTCTTGAAATTATATTTTAAATCTATCTCCCATCTTCTAAGGAGATAGATTTCTATTACCATCGTAATTTTTGTTTTGTAATAAATAGTAATCTTAATATTTTTGCCCAAACGTTTTTAAATCTTTTACCCATTAGGGGCCGAGAAGTAGCTATGTATTTCACTTCCTACAGATGCACTTAGTTATTCTTCCTTTTTATTCTTACCACAGAATATTCAGGATCTCTCTATAGTTGCAGCTTGTGTTCCTACAGGTGGTGGGAATGATATTAGCCCACGTCTTCTCAAACATTTTTCCATACTGGTATTGCCTCATCCTTCATCAGGTGCCATATGTGCTATTTTCCAGGTAATACATCTAGTTCATTTTATACTGAAAGAAAACGAATTTCATAGAATAAAGGAAATATGTGAGAACCTAAATCCACTGATACCGAAAGAAAATTATCTTAAGAGGATGGATTTTATTTCTACCTGTATTTTCTGGCCTATTGTTATAAATTTGTCTCTAAATATCAAAGCATAATTTAGTGTACATAAAAAAAAACACATGTTTCATGAGCATTTAGAATGCAGATGTCAGGACTTTATCCTGAGATTTTGATCCAGTGTATCTGGAATGGAGCTCAGGAGTTTGCATTTTTAACAACCACACCCTGATTTTTGCTAGAATTGATTTGCTTTTTTCATTTTATCATAGAATAAAAAACACTGTGCCAACTATTACCTCAGTCTAGATTGGTATACTTTCTTCTAAAATAGAATTTTGTTTTAGGTGTAGAATATTGATCACCTGCATCAAAATTACCAAGTACTTTTAGAAACATGGATTTAATAAGCTTTCAATTTTATATTATAAAGAAGAAAACACAAGATTTATTTTGAAGAATTTAGTGATCCTGCATAAGATTTATTTTTCTAATCATACTAGGTTTCAAGTAGAGTCATTTTTCTATCAAGCTGTTTTAGGATTTTTAGAAGAAAATATACCTGTATACCAACCCAGACTGAGGTAATAGTTCTGTCACTTTATACTTCTTTTAGTACATCTACTGAGGAGGAAGGAAATGGAAGAATTCCCAGCATACCTGGTTTATACAGATGTGGAGCATAAATTGTCCCCAGAGAACACATGTGACATGCCTCTAGACCAGTTGGAATTGCTAGAACCAATTGGAATTTTCCCCAGTTTGCAACACCCAACATGTCTTTTTCTAGTCCACCATCCTGTTTTAAATGAATTTTACTTTTAACATTTCTAATTAAATTAATCCTCCATTAAAGTAAACAAGTCTGCTTTTTAGTAGAGATTAGCCAGAAATAGTCTATACTTAAAATGTGGGGCAAACTAAATTATAGCATTTCTTTTTTAAGGCTCATTTGGGAATGTATTTCTCCGTCAATAACTTCACATCCGATGTTCAGAAAAGTAAGAATGAGATGACATCGTGTTCCTTAGCCATATACCATCGAGTACATCAGAGTATGTTACCAACCCCAACAAAATGTCACTACTTGTTCAATCTTCGAGATGTGTTTAAGGTTTGTTTTAAAATTCATTCTCTAGGTATTTTTTTGTTTTTTATTTCTTTTTTATAATTATCATTTCAAGATATTAGGGAGACAAGTGTTTCTGTTACATGGATGTAACAAATGGATGTATACGCTAACATGGATGTATATGTAATAAATGGATGTATACGGATGTATAATGCTAACTCGAGGCTTTAGGTGTGCCCATCACCAGAATAGTGTACATTGTACCTGATAGGTAATTTATACCACTTTAAGACCATGTGTACCCATTCTTTAGCCCCCACTTATTTGTGAGAACATACAGTGTTTGTTTTTCCACTCCTGAGATAAGTCTTTTAGGATAATGGTCTCCAGTTCCATGCAAGTTGCTGCACATGAAATTATTTCATTCCCTTTTATGAACCCACACCACAGTCTCCTTTTAGTTCTGCCTCTGTGGGCTACTTTGCTTCCCAAGATTAGTTCACAAATCTCCTGTCTGTGCCCCCAAGGAACACGATCAAGTCCTGGGGGGTACAGGATCCAGCATGCAGGCCTGTCCTCTGATCCCCCAAGTCCTATCCCTCACGACCAGAGAGAAGTGTGCTGGTCTTGAGTTGTCTGTGGACTGCTAAAGTACTCTTAATGTCCCTCTGCTTCAGGGTATGCCTTGCTCTGCTGGGGCAGCCAGGCAAGCAGCCGCAGGAAGGGCGGGTAGGGAGCTCACAGTCTGAGCACCCCTTGGTCCACTGCAGGTCTGTAGAGGAAAGGCGTAAAGCCCCACTCTCTGTGCAAGCCTAGGTGAGGTGGGCATGCCAACAGAGAGGAAACAACCCCAGCTCAGTTGTGTTTGGGGCACCCATGCCAACCCACCACAGACTACCACGTCTCCACTGGCAGCTGTGGGCGGGAGAAGGGAGGACGAGGAGAAGAGTCTGAATGGAGGAGAGCTGGCGCTCTGGTCCCTTTGCCCTGAGGGCCACACACACTCCCACCCCTTGCGGTACTCTCCTGTCCCCTGAAGGCAGCCCACCTTGAATGTCCAAGCTTTGAGATCAGACCACTCCCCTGGGACCCATCAGCCTCCTGTGGCCACTGCAGTCTGGCAGGTGTTGGGAAATGTTTGTGTGGGGACCAGTGACAAGAAAGCTGAAGGGCTGAAGCTCTCAGGCAGGACAAAAGCACACAATGGGTGAAGAAGCAGTATGGCGCCTCTCCCCTTGGCTCTGGTCTGTGCTGATGGGGAGTGAGCCTGGTTTCGTGTCCTCAGGAAGCTCTCAATTCATTGGTGGTGGCAGCCTTTGGGCTCGTGAGGGTAGAGAAGCTCTAGAGCAGTTCCGGAGCCTGCAGTCTACCAGAGGTGTGAGGGGAGGAAAAACAAACACCCACACCCAATCTTTCCATGGGGCTTCCCCCCTGCTGAAATCTCGCTCTTTCTTGTTCTGCTCTGCAGCTTCTTCCCATGGAGTCTCCAGTAGGCTCAAAATTACACGTGGGCTATATTTTTTTCATCTCAAACTTTTCCTTCTTTCTGAGATGAACTGGCGACCAATGTCTCTAGTCAGCCATCTTGCCTCCCACTGTCTTCCAGTTTTTTCTTTCTCTAGTTTATTTTTAAAATTTAAGTTAAGGAGATGTAATTTTACTGAATTGAATCTCTCTGTCTCTCTCTTTCTCTCCCCCCCCCCGTTCTCTCTCTCTCCATTTCCCTACTCACTGGTACTGTCAACATTAAATTGTGAAAAGGGGAAAAAAGAGAAATGCATGTTAGTTAGCTTTGCTACTTATTAGCAGCTTATCCCATGAGTTCGTTGCAAAGAATTGTTAAAATAATTTCATGCAGAGAATTCAGGGATGAAACCACTAAGACTGTTAGAATATTGACTAAGATCTTTAGTAGAGAAAGAAGTGACAAAGTTATAACATAGATTTTTGTTTTGCTTTATTTCTGAGATTTTATAGTGGCTGTCAGAAAATGAAAGCATGCATGCATTTCATAAATATGCTTGAATTTTCAGATTTTGCAAACAGTACTGATTTAGTTACCAGCCTTGGCCAAATAATTTTCAAAATTGATGTTAGGAAAATGATTCTTGAATTTGATATCATCCTCTTCTTGCTGTGGGACTTTAGCCCTGAATAGCACACATAATCTTCGATATGGGTTATAAGATTTTTTTTAAATCCAAATTTAGAATGCTAAAACATATTAACATCAAGAAGTACCTCAACATCACCTTCAACATGCTGCCTCCATGTCAGCACCATGGTCTAGACTCCCATCCTATCAAGGCCTCCATTAGATGTGGCTGGAGAGTCCCTGACTTCCCCACCTATCTCAATGTCAATTTTCCCTGACTTATTATTTTTCCATCTCATCAAAACTTCAGATTATCTATTGAAGAAATTGACAGTTCTTACCTTGGATAATTGCTTCTATTTTTATGGAACATCAGTCTGGAAAATTGAGTCTTTACATACTACCCTGATAATGTTTTTTTTTTTAATGTTATTTTTAATAATAGCTTCTCCTAGGATTGCTGCAGGCTGACAAGGCTGTTATTAACTCCAAAGAGATGGCTGCTCTGCTCTTTGTTCACGAAGCAACCCGAGTGTTTCACGATCGCCTAATTGATTCCACTGAAAAAAGCCTTTTCTATCAGTTGCTTTCAAAGGAACTCGAGAGCTATTTTCAGGTAAACTTATATTTTAAAAATTATTTTAAATAGATTCTTGGGCAAAAATTATAGAGATTAAAATTACTCTTTGAAAGTATCAATAATTTGAAATACTAAAAAATCCAAATAAATAAGTTTGTATGAAAAGAAACTCCAGTTTTTTATTCTATTGCCGCGCTTTGTAAAATCTGGGGTATTTAAAAAATTAAATCCCGAGTAGAATAAAGGAATCAAGAAAAAAGCAAGCGAGTGCAAAGGGTTAACAATGGGGACACCTTCCGGTAAATGCATTGTTAGGTGATTTCATCTTCCTGTGAACATCATGGAGTGTACTTACACAAACTTAGATAGTTGATAGCCTACTACACACCTAGGCTATATGATATAGCCTATTACTCCTAGGCTACCTGTGCAGCATGGTACTGTACTAAAACTGCAAGCAATTGTAACACAATAGTAAGTGTTTGTGTATCTAAACATATCTAAACATAGAAAAGATATAGTAAAAAGTACCTTATAAAAATGATATACCTGTGTAATGCACTTAACCATGAACGGGGCTTGCAGGACTGGAAGTTGCTCTGTGGGTGAGTGAGTGCAGGTGAGTGAGGTGTACACTACTGTAAACTTTATAAATCCTATACACTTAGCCTACACTAAATGTATTTTTTACATTTTCTTTCTTCAATAATAAATTAACCTTAGCTTACTGTAACTTTTTTACTTTATACACTTTTCAATATTTTTAACTGTTTGTCTCCTTTATAATAACATAACGTGTGTGGTGCGCACCACCGGGGATTGGACACGCTTGAATCTCTGGCACATCAGGGGGAGGGGGGGCCAGGGGCAATATTTGTAAGCCTAACAATATTTGTACCTCCATAATATGATGAAATAAAAGGAAGAAAAGAAAGAAAAAATAAAAATAAAAAAATAAAACACAAATACACTGTGCAACTGTACAAACATATTTTCTTTCTTTATGTCCTTATTATATAAGCTTTTTTTCTACTTTTAACTTTTTTTATACTTCGGAAACGTTTTTGTTAAAAACTAAGACAAAAACATATATATTAGCCTAGGCCTATATAGGGTAGGAATCATTAATATCACTCTCCCACCTCCACATCTTGTCCCACTGGAAAATATTCAAGGGCAGTAACATGCATGGAGCTGTCATCTCCTGTAATAACAATGCCTTCTTCTGGCATACCTCCTGAAGGAGGTACCTGAGACCGCTTTACAATTAACTTTTTTATGTAGGTAGAAGGAGTACACCCTAAAATAATGATAAAAAGTATACCATAGTGAATATATAAACCAATAACAGTCATTTATTGTCATTATCAAGCACTATGTACTGTACGTGCTATACTTTTATACAACTGGCAGCTCAGTAGGTTGTTTATACCAGCATCATCACAAACATGTGAGTAATGTGTTGTGCTACAACATCAGGATGGCTAGGTGTCACTAGGTGATAGGAATTTTTCAGCTCCATTATAATCTTAGGGGACCACTAGACATTAGACATTAGACATTAAACTTCTAAATCTACCTCTGGGCCCTTCATACTCAACGTGTGTAAAACCATTCTCAGCCACCATCCATTGCACTTTCTCCACCACTGAGGTGCTGCGCTGGTATTCCCTACTGCAGTGACTGGCATTACTGTCCAAGCCTCCATCCATGCCAGAAATCTGAACATCTTGCCCTTTCATTCTAGCCAGAACACAGCATAGTCTCTATGGCCTCTCCCTTTATGCCTACAGGTGCCTTCCCTTGGCTCACTCCTGGCCATCCTTCAAGATTCAGCTCATAAGCATTGTGCTAAGTGAAATAAGCCAGGCACAGAAAAACAAATGCCACATGTTTTCACTTAAATGTGGAATCTAAAACAATAGATCATAGAAGCAGAAAGTAGAATGGTGGCTAGCAAAGGCTCCAGGTTGGGAGGAATGGAAGTTAATGGTCATCAAAAGGTACAAAACCTCAGTTAGACAGGAGGAATAATGTGTTTTGATCTCTGTTGCACAGTATGGTGAATATAGTTAACAATAGTATGTTGTACATTTCAAAATCTCTAAGAGAATAAATTTTAAATGTTCTCACCACCTAAAATCGTATTTGATGTAATCGATATGTTAATTAACTTGATTTAATTGTTTCATATTATATTCATAAATCATAACATCACTTCATACCCCATAAATATATTCTTTGTCAACAACTATTCTTTGTCAATTTATAATAAAAATAAATTTTAAAAAATACTTAGCTCATGCTTCCTACCTCTTGGTGGCCTTTTCTGGCCAATATCACCTCCTTTCCAGATTAAATGGTTCCTCTTTATATTCTCATAGGACTATGGGTTTTTGCTATCATAGAACTTATTATAAGGTAATTGCTTATCTCTCTCTCCAACCTGTGCATTCCATGAAAATGAGGCCATTATCATCTCTTTCTAAATCCCCAGAATTTAGCATTCTCCTACCCCTAATTGGTACTTGATAAATATATCTGGGATAAATTAATGAATGAGGAATGAATGAAGGAATGGAGAGACTTTGCTAAAATAATAATCTAAAGAGAGCTTATTACTGCCTCAGGAGAAGCTCCTAAACTCCCTATAAATACCAACCACAATTCAGTTTTGAGAGTTTAGCAGACCAATAAATAGATGTAGAAGCCATAGAAAATGAGCAAGCAAATACTTATGGGAGTCGGGTCTTGCCCTGGCAGGGGTCAGCCCTATAGACAGCAAGAGTAGCTATAATAACCCAAAATAAAGACTGTATTAACCACACTTCCCTTAAGCATGTAAGGATGTAAATTATTCCTATGAGAATTTGGGTTTATATTCTGTCACTTAATTGGTTGGTTGACTTTTTAAAAAAATAAAATATAACTCTAATAATAATTAATATACTGTGCCAAGATCTGTTTTAAGAGCTTTACATATCATTACTCACTTTAATCTTACTCATAATACCCTATGATTTAGGTCCTGTTATTATCCTCATTTTACAGATGAAGAAACTGAGCAGAGTAAGGTTAAGAACTTGCGCAAGGTCACACAGCTAGTTAAGTGGTGGATATCTGATGACAGATATTCTCTTAATTATCATGCCATATCTCCCCTCAATACTCATTTAACCATTTGCCAAACAAACATCTTCTGAATTCCTACCAAGAATTCTGGTACCTGGTACCAAGTGAGGTAAGTGCTGAGGACTGCATAGAAGTAGCGTGGGCCCTACCTCCAAGCACCTTACAGCCTAGTAAGTGGGACACATTTCTGTAAGTGCTAGGACAGACCTATTGACATAATAATTGGTGGAACAAAGGAGGAAAGAGTAATTTAATCTATCTGGTTTTATGGGCAAGGGAAATGGTCAGACTTCAAAGAAGCGGTAGCCCATGACCTTGGTATCAAAGATAGGCAAGAGTTTGCCAAGTGGACCAGGAAAGAAGGATGGAAACTGTGGTGGTAACTAACAATTGACTAAGGGAGGATTCTTTTTCTCAAATTGTCAGTGGAGCTGTAAGATATTTCCAGCAACAGGGGTTCTTTACCTGGGATCCACAGACCCTCAAAGAGTTCTTAGGTAAAACTATATTATATTTGGTTTCACTTGTAATCCTCATATTTTACTATATGCGTTTTAAAATATTATTCTAAGAAAGGGTCAGTCTTCACTGCTAAAAGGGATTCATGGCACCAAAAAGGTTAAGAACTCCTCAGTCTTAGATCTATGGTGCCTGGAGCTTCTCTAGAATAACTCTATCTCTAGATAGAGTTATATGATACTGGTTTTGATAACAAGTAGAATTGTGCTATTAAAAATAATGTTAAATTCTTATCTTACAATAGATTCAATGGTCCAAAGAAGACCTGATGAATGATTCAACTGTATTTGTGGACTTCTTGGATACAAACAAGCCTCATAGAAAAAAGATCTATCAGAATACCAATGACTATAATAAACTTAACAGTGTACTTAATGAATTCCAAATGAAGTTGGGTTTAACACCTTTGGAGGTAAAGCCATATACTATGTAAAAATCTGAGAAGTGCTATATATGTCTATATTTATTTAGTTACATACACACACACACATATATATATGTGTGCATCAAATCAAATATTTTTAAGATGTATGTATGAGAGAGAGAGAGAGAGAGAGAGAGAAGAAAGATTGGAGGAAAGTGTACCTTCATATTTAAAAGCAGACAATTAGAAGTACAGTTTTATATTATTTCATCCAATTTTGTCTTACTTGATAGAGTGTAATTTTAAAGACAAGGTGCACAACTGAGGCTATAGGGAGTTAATAGAGTTAATGAAGTTAAAAAATGTAAAAGAGAGTGTGGCAACAAGGTGCAAAGTAGCGACAAGGGACAACAAAATGGTTATGGGTTTTTACATCTTTCTCATTTTGTTGTGGGCAGAGATGTATTGGAACAAAGACACCAACAAAATCACAGATACCAGAAACCAAGTCCCTAAGTCTCTTCCTCTCACCACTGAAAAGCAGCCTAGTTACTGTTGTTCTCCTCTTCATTCTCTTTCCTCGACCCTACCACCAACTCCCTAATATCACTCACAAGAATATTAGCATAGCAATAACCCTATTGTACAAACTTAACTTTCCCTAAATGTTAATACAAACCAGCTTACTGGATCTAGGTTACTGAGTTGCTAGAATAGTCATTTTCATTTCTATAAGTAAATTGTATGTAAAATCACAATACACATTTGATTTGTTTATACCTTAATCAGTTTATTTGTCATAATTTCTCTGCTAGATTTCTCATCCTATGGTGTTCTTCAAGGAAGCCATAGAACACATCACAAGAGCCACAAGGGTCCTTCGACAACTAGGGAGCCACATGTTACTGGTAGGAATTTAAATTTTTCAAATGTTTTCAAGTTCACAAAATAAAAATTAAGAAACTCCATAGCATCTACTTTGCTTACAGAAGTTTTATTTGCCCACACTTTATGAAAAATCACAGTAACTGAGTCACAAGATAGGACCATTGTCCTCTCTACAGTTTGCATAAGAAATGTGACAGCATATGAAAATAGTATTTGCTTTTGGAAGACATTTGATGTGAATAAAATTGGTGAATCTTGCATCATCTCTAATGTATCCTCAGTGTTAATATAGTATCTGTGCAAATGGATCCTGACTTCAAAAATAGTACACCTACTTGAATATTGATTTAGAAACATGAGTTTTTGCACCAAGTTTTGTTTCTCATGAGAACAAATGGGAGTTAAATTTTTGGAAAATTCCCAAATACCTTGAATAGAGAAAGAAAAGCTTTTGGAAAGCTAAATAAAATCCAACATATTTAGTCAGTTACATAAAGCATATTATTTATGACTTTAAGTTATTATTTATGCCTAATATTTAGTTATTTATTTTATACTTTATGTGTAACTATTTAGTTATTTAATTTATCCCTTTTCTTCAAAAAGGACTTTATTGTTGCATTCAGAAAAGCTAGAGCTTTATTTAAACACTCCTTTATTTAAACAGATATGAGCAACAAGATTAATTAAAAGGAATTAAAATTGGAAAATAGGATCAAGAAAAAAATACAAAGCAAATCTTTCACCAAAACTGCATCTTCACTAACCTTTCCCATCTCATAAATAGCATCACCATATATCTGCTGCTGTGACCAGAAACCCAGGAGTCACTCAGTCTTGTCACTTTTCCATCACTCCTCACGTTCAATCTGTCAATAAATCTTGGCAATACAACTTCCAAAACATATTTCAAATCTGCCCACTTCTCTGCATCTCCACAGCCACCACTCTATTTAAGCCACCATTATCTTCACCTAGACCACTACATAGTCTTCTCTGTTATCCTTCTCTAAAATAGCATGCCTCTTCTTCCTCCACTTAGTCTTGTTATGCTATCATCTTATTGTACATCATTTTTCTTCCTAGTCCTTAGCATTAGCTTATGTATTAAATTTTCATTTATTAATTATCTCTCTCCACATTTAGAATGTAAGCAATATAAGGGCTATGATTTTGTCTGTCTTACTGCAATTTTTAAGAGGATATTGTTCTATTCCTAAAGGGTATGCACTCTCAGTTTAGTTCTTTTAGCACAATGCTACTCTCTTCTTTAGCAAGTCAGCCCTTTTCTAATAGAAAGTAAATTTACAACAAGTTCTCAATTCTAAAATGCCAGAGAATGTATATTCAGAGCAATTTTTAAAAGCCTGCATTCAAATGGAACCTTGCCATGTATAGAGGATTCTCATGAACCTATCTGTCCTCTCAGAGCCCCTATTAAAAATGCAAGGTAAAAAAATGGCAAGTTCCTGATTCCTCTGTTCCTGTTACTATTTTTCCCAGTTAAATATCATATAGATAGTGCTATATTGATGACTAGGGTTCAATTTTGCAACTAGTAATCTACCTAGAAGCTAAGTTAATATGTGGGGTTTCTGCAGGAAGAAGCAGCTGGAGAGAGTATAATGATTTAATGAATACCATTTAATACAGGTAAGAAACAATCAAATAATCATAATCTAGATTGAAGAATTCAAATAAGTTCAGTTTAATTCAGTAAGAAAGTTAAAGAAACAATACATGACTTTTGAAAGTAAATGTTACATAATCCAACTGGATTGTATTGTTGAACTATCAGAAGAAGAAAACAAGAAAACTAATATTAATGAGCAATTCAATTTAAGGTATTAATTTAAAAGATTATTTCAGGCAATCTATGATGTAAAACATTCAGTTGTCAACAAAAATTACAAGATATAAAAAGAGATAGGAAAGTATAAACTATACACAGAAAAAGAGCAGTCAATAGAAACTGTCTTGAAGGGAATCCAGAGGTTGGGCTTGGCAGACATCTGGAAATGCAGCTGTTATAAATACATTTTTTAAAAACTAAAGGAGAATATATATTTTAGAAATTAAAGGAAAGTATTCAGCAATGATTCTTTAAATAGAGAATACCAGTAAAGAAATAGAAATTATTTTGCAAAATGGAATTTCTTGGGTTAAAAATTAGAATAAATGAGATGAAAACTTCACCAGAGGAGCTCAACAGAAGATTTAAGATGCCAGAAGGAAGGATCCACAAACTTGAAGATAGGTCCATAAAAATTATCCATTCTGAAGAAGAAAAAGAAAAAATAATGAAGAAAGAAATAGAATGTCAAAGACCTGAGGGATACCCATCAAGTGTACCAAAATATGTATAATCGGAGTCCCAGAAAAAGAGAAAAGATAAGGGGATAAAAGATTTTGTAGAAATAATGCCCCAAAATATTAAATTCAATAATAGCTCAAGAAACTCCAAGTAGAAGAAACACAAGTAGATTAACACATCATAGTAAAATGTTCAAAGAAAAAGAGAAAATTGTGAATACAGCAAGAGAAAACCAACAACTTAGTATGTACTAGGAATGCTGGAGAAGATTAACAGCTAATTTCTCCTCAGACACAGTGGAGACCAGAAGGCATTGGAGCAACATATTCAAAATGGTAAAGGAAACAAAACTCAAAAATTTATATTTAATAAAACTATCCTTCAAAAAATGAGAGGGAAATAAAGACATTTCCAAATAAACAAAGACTGAGAGTTTGTTGCTACCTTACAAGAAATATTAATTACTAAAGGAAATTATTACAGGCTGAGAGAGAATGACACCAGATGATAACTGAAGTCCACATGAAGAATAAAGAGCACCAGTAAGAGCAATTACATAGGTAAATATAAGGCAGTGTGTTGGTTTTCTACTGACTCTGAAACAAATTACCACAAATACAGCAGCTTAAATAAGTTCATTATCTCTCAGTTTTGCAGGTCAGAAGTATGACATGGAACACACTGGGCTGAGCTCAAGGTATAGGCAGGACTGCATTTCTTTCTGGATACTTTAAAGGGAAATTTGTTTACCTCCTCTTACTAGCTTCTAGAGGCTTCCTGCATTCCCTGGGGCTGCCTTTCTTCATCTGCAAAGCCATAAACATCATATCTCTCTGACCAGTTATCAGTCATCACACATTTCTCTCTCCAAATAGAGTCAGGAAAGGCTCTCTGCCTTCAAGGATTAATGTGATTAGACTGCATCCAAGAAGATAATCCAGGATAATCTCACCATTTCAAAGTCTTTAATCTTGATCACATCTGCAAAGTCCCTTTTGCCATATAAGACAATATATTCATAGGTTACAGGGATTATGATGTGGATGTATTTGGGAGGCAGAGTGGTGTCAAGGGCACTATTCTGCCTACCACAGACTATATAAGTGTATATTTTTTTTACCCTTAACTGCTTTCAAAGATAATTGCCTAAAATTATAATTATAAACTATTATTAGGCTTATGATGTATAAAGATATAATATATGTAAAAATAAATAGCACAGAAGAGGAGAGAGGAAATGGAGCTATATTGCAGCAAACTTTCTAAATTTTTCTGGAATTAAGTTAGTATTCATCTGAAGTAGATGGTGATAAATTATGATATAGTGCAAACCAGTTATGCAAGATGAGTAAGTTTTAGAGATTTAATGAACAGCATGATAATGGTAGTTAACAAGATTTTGAATGTTCACAACACAAAGAAATGATAAAGTTTGAGGTGATCAATATGAATATGGTAATTACCCTAATTGGATCATTATGCATTGTATACATGTATGGAAATAACCCTCCATATCCCATGAATATGTACATTTATTACATGCCAACTAAAAATAAAAGGAAAGAAATAAACGGATATCTCACAAAAGCATCTGAAAAGATGCTCAATATCAACTGTCATCAGGGGAAACAATAATGAGATACCACTACATGCTTATTAAAGTGACCAAAATCCAAATAACTGAATAGTAGCAATTATTCATAAGGATGCAGAGCAACAGAAACGCCTGTTCATTGCTGGTGGGAATGCAAAACAGCACAGTCTCTTTGGAAGACAGTTAGGCAGTTTCTTACAAAGCTAAACATAGTCTTGCCATATGATCCAGTAATCGTGCTCCCACGTATTTACCTAACTGATATGAAAACTTATGCCCACACAAAACCTACACATGAATGATTATAGCAACTTCATTCATAATCACCAAAAATTGGAAGCAACAGGGATGTCCTTCAACAAAGCAAATGAATGAACTGTACTACATTGATACAATGAAAAATTATTCAGAGAAAAAGAAATCAGCTCTCAAGCCACAAAAAGACATAGGTGAATCTTAAAGGCATATTTCCAAGTGAAAGAAGCCAGTCTGGAAAGTCTACATACTATTTGATTCTAATTATATAGCATTCTAGAAAAGGAAAACCTATGAAAATGATAAAAAGATAAGTGGTTGCCAAGGATTTGATGGGATGAAGGGAAAGTGAAACAGGTTTTTTAGAGTGGTAAAAATTTTGTATGATACTCTAATGGTGAACATGTGACAGTGTAAATTTGTCAAACCCCATAGAATTTCCCAGCACAAAGAATGAACCTTAATGTTGTGGCCCACTTGCAGGACAGGGGATGGCACACATAAAGACATAGACGTAAAACGCGGACACGAGAATTGGCTGCAGTCACAGAATAAAAAAGCACACAGACACAAAGACGGTTCAAGACTGCAGCGCTTAAAGCACCAGTCATTTTATTTTTATACTGCTTAATTGGGCAAGTGTCCCAAAGCTATTTCCTCATGTCAGCTATTTTCCCAGCTACTTTCTGGTACATGACTTCCCACAGGCCAACAGCACCTGTTCCTCCAGACATAGCACAAGAGATGCCCTTCGACGCTTGATACCGTTTGTGGATAACAAGACGCCTGGCTAGGTTGCATAGCACAAGAGAAGAAGATGTTTACATTCTCTCTTCTACCATCTGGTACCGCATGCG